GTTTGGCTTTAGATGAACTACTCAATGCAGTGATGTACCACACTGATTAGATTAGTCATACATAGATTAACAGTTTTAGAACAGTGGAGTTATATGGAATGATAAATTATGTTAAATTATTGTTGATTTTGTATTCACTTCCAGTGATGGAAGGAAAGTATATCATTAGATTTATCCTTTTTACACTTGTGTCCTGTTCAATCATTGTTATTTTTCATCAACAGATGAAAAATAAAAGCTAAAAGGATTTAAATATTTTGGCAGTTTATTTTTTACTTTTGCATCTGGTTTGTGACTTATCTCTCATCTTCCACTCTCTTTCTTAAGTTCAAAAAACATGCTCGGGGCGCTGCACAGAGTAAACTATTTACTCAGAAATTATCATGAACTAAACAGATATTAGTCATACTTAGTCAAAAGCTAAGTCAAACTGAAAAGATCTTGAATCCCAGGCCCTGATGTTTGTAAACTCTGCTGAAGTGTTCTTCCTAGTTTTGCATCATGTTTCCACTTGTGCCACCACTATTTCCTTTCCATCTAAACCCTCTCTCCTTCTGTCAGCAGCGGCTCCAGTTCTCGGACATGCCCACAGCTTCATTGCCACGACAACAACACAAGAGCACACCACACCGCCATCCATCCGACCAATCGGACATCTTCTCCACTCCCTCGGCTGCATTTCCATGGGAACGGGATGACTCGAGACCAGCAGCCAGGAGACGACTGCCACCTTCTCCACAGATGCCCTGCCCTGATGTCACAAATCAAGGCCTGTCGGAGCAGGGAAGTTGTGGGAAGGAGAAGGACCTCAAGACAGAGACGGACAGTGAGTGAGCATGTTCAGTGGTTACTATAGTGACATTTGGAGTTTCTAAATATACACACATGCAGCTCAGATAAGCAGCCTTCATCCTAAAGTAACATTTAAAAGTTAGCTGGATTGAACAGGACCTTGCACGGACATGCTGTCATCTATCTAACTCAGTAATCCTACGCTCTGAGGCAGGCCTCTGACTGATCATTTATACTGTGTTTGTCACAACTCTGATGCAGGCTTTTACAGTCCTCAACGAGATGGCAGTCTACATAGGTTTTCAGGTGCTGCTTACAATAGTCAACAGTGTTAACCAGCCTTAAGTCAATAGCAAGGCTCTTCTAGAGCCTGGGGGTCACTGCAGCTGAAGCTCAGTCATAGCTGGTTTTGAATTTATACTGAGCGATGGCCTGCAAACTCTGGGCAGAAGAACTCATCGCTAACTAATACTTTTTGGTGTATTGCCTAAAAGTAGAGGGCTGGAGTTATTTTGGATTTTTGTTATTACCAAAATATTCAGTGAAAAGAGGAAAACCAATAATGTGATAAGTTTATCAATACATACAAGACGCTTCCCTTTCCTGTCTAAGGACCTTAGCTCCAAGGCTGTTTTTTCACTACTAAAGACCAAAATAAATCAAAAATATATAAGTTTATATCATGCTCAGTCTTTTTCTAAAATCCTGGGCAGAAGCAAATGTTTATTAACCAGGCATTAATAGTGTATCTGTTTGGAATGAAGTGCTAAATAAATTACACTGCCTGTGATGATTTTGTTTACAAAAATTAGTGAATGAAAATTACTCCTTGGCCTTTTTTTAATGATATATATATATATAAATAAGAAGTAATACTTTAAAATAATGACTAGAATGAAATGTTTTTAGATTTAAAAATTATTATTTTTTTTTTACACATAATCTTGTTCAGCGACCTGCAGCTTCTGAGTAGTAAAAGTGTACTTTGCTGCCCAAAGTATCTTTTGTTCTGTGTATTTTTTCTGTTGGACCAGTAACGTTATGCATCTGTTGGTAATGTTACCGATACATGGAAGACGCATGTTTGTGAATTAAACTAAACAAGATCTTCACAGGAAGCAGTAACAAAGCATCTGAAATAAGCAGGAATGAGCCTACATTTATGTAAACGTAAACTGATGTTACCTTATCAGGTAATGCTGATGTAATACTAAATGTTTGCTTACTTTCAATTGAATGTCTTTCATGCTGCTGTCAGAAAGAATGAGTCAGTTCCAGGATTAATGACAGAGCTCCATCTAAAGCTTTGTCTAGATATTTGCTTAAGTACTACTGTTGAATAAATGTATTGTTGTCCAGCCATTCAGCATCTCACAGTAAACAGGATTGTAGTGATCAGGTAAGGTAATCATCTGCTGAATGAGTTGTTGAATGGTAATGCTAATGGTTAATGAATGACAGACAGAGACGGAGCAGTTCTGTTCAAACTGTTTGGAAATCCATCCATCCATTATCTATACACTGCTTTATCCTCTTTAGGATCGCTTGAGGACTGGAGTCTATTCCAGCTAACTTAGGGCCAAGGCAGGGTACACCCTTGACAGGTCGCCAGTCTGTCACAGGGAGTTTGTAAATGATAACTACATTTACTGAGGACAGTCAATCTGTTGTGTCACTGCAGGACAAGGGGACTCGGACACAGTCTTTTCCACAAACCCCGCCACAGATGTAACTATGGTAGCAGTATGCAAAGAAGGTGACAGCCGTGGCCTCAAAGTGCTCAGTAGACATGAAAATTTAAAACGCTAAATGCGACTAATATGTTTTTAGTTTAAGTTGACTAAACTCAAGTAAAACTAACAAAAGTCAGAGAATTAAAAAATTACACTAAGACCCATTTTAAATCAAAGCACTTGATCAATATCAGGTGCCAAAAACAATGTGTCCATGTTCAGGACAGAAACATAAACTGTGGTTTATTTATTATTTATTTGAATGAAGGAGTTGTCACTTAGTAAATTAGAAATGTAGCTGTTATTGTGATCTTGGTCTGAACAGTAAAGCCAAATAACAAAATGTTATTTGTTTTGGTTTGGTTTTTATCTCTGATCGGACTACCTGAAGCAATGTGATTGTCCTGAGTCTCATGTACTCTGTATAACCTCAACAACAGTTGTTACATAAGAGGCTGTGTAGAAATCACTGGCTCAGCCGGAGATTCTTCTGCCTGCTCCCAGGCCAGCTTCATAACGTAGAGTGGCCTTTACTACACTTTATGATTGTGATGTAACACTCCTCTTTCTCTTGGCTCCTCTGTGTTTGTTTGCTGAGAGGAGGAAAGGGACAGGTCAGTGTGAAACAGTAAATGCCTCTTATAGCTGCTGGGACACTGAAGAGGAGGAGTGGTACAGAATTTGCTTTAGGTGTGCTTATTTTGTACGTTTTTGCTGCTGTATTTTGCTCCTCTCCACTGTAGCTCTTCAAGTCACTCAAATACATTCCAGGATTTTATTCTGATTTATTTTGCAATAGGATTGTATGTGGTAAATTGTGAAAACAGGTCTGAGATTAGTAGTGCAAGAAATTGTGATTACATTTATGTCTATGTAAGACAAATACACACAAATACAGATTTTACAATAGATACCAAAACATTACAAAACACATTTTTCTTAGGACAAGCCAAAAATTGATTTTATCCCTGGCTTTGGAAATCAGCAGCGTGACACCCACAGGCTTGGTCTATCATACAGAGTTACAGCAGCTGTGGTTGTAACTGAGCTAGTCTGTATGGATTGACCCCATTTGTGAAGATCCCAGCTGTGTGTTGCTGCTCTATCGTTGACTGCTAATGGTCACGTCAGAAATCAAGATATTCTTGCTTTTACTGAAAATGCTCATTTAAGGGAAAAAGTGCTAAAATGTGTTTTCCACGTATTTCCCATCATCTGTTTTCTCTTTGTCGCCCTCCACCCACTCAGTCACTGTTCACCCAGTTCTATCCAACATTTGTGAGCAGTGTTTTCTACTGAAAGATGGCAGCACACTGTAATTAGTAATGAGTAAGGTGAAACTTTTACAAACACTGGTGCAGTTGTGTTACACTTGAAAATGATTAAAAGTGTCTCAATTATTAGAGAATTTGTTTGCAGTTACAGGACTGCTTGTGCCATATGCCTACTTTAAAATACATACAGCATAGATTTAAAAACAATGTAGACACACTGTGTTTACAGACATTGTAATTGCTAATTGTAACAAGACTTCCTGTTGTCCCTTTCCTTAGTCTACTCTTCAGTCCTGTTATTATGGTTTTATATTGTATTTTTAATTTTTTTTTGTTATTGTGAAAGGTGCTCAAGTAAAATTAGTTTTTCTTAGACCTGCTTTATTGCTAGATTGAGTATATTAATGTTATATCTTTGTGCATTTGGTTCATCCATCAGTATCCTTATCAGAAATGCGCCGTTGTATCTCTGCTCTGGAGGACGAGCTGTCTGCGAAGGCTGGCACGTTGAAGACCTTTCAAAACGAAATGGTGCTGAGTAAAAAGGAGCTTGCTGCCAAGGAGCTTAACCTGCAGAAAGTCCGCGATGAGCTGAGCCAGGCACACACACGCATGGCCCAGGACAGTGAGCGGGTAAGAACACACACACTGTTACTGCTACACATTCTTCTGGTGGTGCTCCTCCTGCTTCTATGACTGAAAACGAATGTGTTTCATACCAGTGCTAATATTTCTCTGAAGCCCTGCTGTTTGAACAAACAATGGGCGTTGGTGTCATTTATCACAACATTGCTCTTCCCTGAAATATAATCAGGAGATGTTGAGCTGGAAAAACGGTCCCCTTTTTCAGTTGTGCTGGAAAACAACTGAATCCATCTGGCCTGCACGTGTAATGCAGGGGAGAGACTGCCAAACCTCCCATTCATTAATGCTTTCATGATGTGTCTTTAATTATCATGACATGATTAAAATGAGGAAAGTAAAAGAAAAGCACTAACAAATGTGTTAAAACACATCACATGAAAGCAATAGTCTTAGAAGTGACTTATATAAAACGTTTATAAGACACAAATGTCACCATAAATATGACCATTTAGATCTAAACCTCACAAAATTTGAGTCTTACCAACTGCATTATCTTTCATGGGCATACACATTAAAAACCCATGACGTTATGAGCACAAAAAGGCTTGGTATTGTTATAGAGTTGTAAAGTGGGAGGAATTATTTCAGGGGCCTCTGGTTTCAGGAGTAAACGTCTCATTAATTTTCCCCATGGACAATGTTATGTGACTAATAGCTGGAGCTTCTGTGGTTTGGATCAACAGAAACCTCCTGATTATCTGTACCAATACTAAACAAGTACCTTACACACATCTGTGAGATAACAGTGTTTCTATGTTAAGTAACAGTAAGGATCCCATTTTGTTTGTCTGTGTTTGTGATATCAGGCATCAGGAGCTGAACAGAAGCTGAAGCAGCTACAAGAGGAGCTAAAGTGTCAGAGGCAAAATGCCGAGAGCAGCCGACTGCAGCACCAACAACGTACCAAGGAGCTAGAGAAACAACACCAGAGGGTGAGACATGGATGGAGAAGGGTCATATGGATGAAGAACTAAGGAAGACACTTGCTTTTGTTCCAATCTCTTTGTTCCATGTTACAGTTGAAAATAGATTTTGTGTATGTGTGTGTCTAGGACTTGACAGAGCTTCAGAAAGAGAGGCAGTGTCTAGAGAGGCAGCATCAGCAGGAGGTGAATAAGCTTAATCAGGAGCTCCAGCAGGCGAGGACGCTCCACAATGCTCTGCAGGCTCAGGCTGACAAGGTAAATAAAAACAAACGTACATACTTTACTTATATGCATTCAACTACATTTGCAAAGATAAGGTCTGTATCAACACCGGAAACTAAAGACCAAAATAATACTCTAGATATTTTTTATTCTTTGGTTTGTTTTTCTGTCCTGTTTTTTCTATTTCCTATATCTCTTTCCTGTTTTCTCTGCCTTTATTCCACCTTTTCTCTTAAACCTTTTTTTTTTATCATTTGATCCCAAGGTCAATAAACTTATCTCACTTCTTCTCCCACACTTGCTTCTTGCCCTTGTTGCTTTCTCTCACTCTGTGTTTCACTCTCTTGCTCTCTGTGTTTCTGTTTCCTTCCCCCTCCTCCTCTCCGCTTCGTCCTCCTCTCCCTTCGGTTTCTCCCCAGTGGAAAGGTTGAGCGGTGAAGGTAATGACGGTGTGACTACGTTTGAGCAGAGTGTTTTGGTTATGGAAGCGTGACACAAACTCATAACTTATAACTTGTATGTGAGAACTTGTTTTCTGTGGGAACTGCATGAAGGAATGGCTGCAGGATGAGGGTGAAGATGGATGGAAGATTTGTTGGAAGCATGTTGCATGAATGTAGAGAAGGGCGAGTGTGTTTGTGCTTGAAGATTTTTTTAAATTATTTGGATTTATTTAACAAGAAGGAATGTAGTGGCACTTATATTTAATCAGCAGAACAATAAGGCAAATTTTAAACTCTCATGCAAAAAAACACATTTCCTTGACTTTTTATGCTTTTGGTGTAAAAATTCTGAACAACAGCTCTTCATTCTACCCACAGTGTCCAATAAAACCTTACTGTAAGCCCTTTGTAAACTGCACCGATGTTATCTTCTTATACCTGATAAGGCTACAGAGAGTAAACATGCCAAAGAGGCTCAGCGTCACATACAGCGTCAGGAACATTCAGTAGCAGATAGTCAGCAGTTTACAGGGAATTTTGTGGAATTAGCATTCAGCCGTTTGCACATGCATGTCGTTTTTGAGAGACCTTTTATATAATTTTGTTGATACTCCCTAAATTTTAAGTTTAATCTCCACTTTCTATAAGTGCCCCAAGTGGCTGATTGAAATCTCTGTCAAACAGCAGGTTACTACAGGCCTGAAGAAACTCTCCAAAACCGGAAAAACGGTCATTTCCAAGAGGATTGCTTTCACTTCACTGATTTGATTGGCATGCAAGCGCAATTTATTAGTAGTCTTGTGTTGGGGAAGGAAATGCATAAAAAATTTGAAACAAAAATACCAAGCCCTGCTACTTCTGTCAGTAGTAATGAATACTTACAATACAAGTTACACTACTATGACTTCTGGCTTTACTTAATATTATTGCCTCATTAAATTGTTGAACAAAGCCATTGTTAGTGGTGGAAACTATCTAATTATTCATCACCACAAGAAGTATAAAGTTCATCTTTTAAGAACAACACTTTAATTGCTATTTGTCCTCTACATTTGCCACCCTTTTTTCTGGATCATGCACACTACAGTGTAGATGTTGCTGTTCCAGCATGACATTCAGACAGCATATGATCCAAGGATTATAAAATTCTAAAAGGTGAAGAAAGTAACACAGTATCAACCTGTTTGATTAATGAAGGTACTGTAATTACTATAATTAGATCAGTAATGTTGCACAGTGCTTCACTGTAATGCTACTTTTATGACTGTTCATATGTACAATGACAGGAGACCATGTACCATGTTTCATGAGAACTGGTGGGAAACCGATCAGCTTCAGTCTTTGTTAGTTTCCCCAGAGAGAAAGTCAATACACTAGACACAGCTTATGCTTGCTATTGATCAATGATCGCTGCCTTGCTTTCCGTTTCCTTCGCTTTTTCTGATTTCAGCACCTTAAACAACAGCCATTCATTTCTTCTTTATTGTTTCCGTTTACCTCTTACATTCATTTCTTTTATGAATCATTTCCTTTGCCTTCTTTGAATTGAGTGTCCCTGTTGTCTAGCAGCTAATGAGTTATAATTTCCTCCATCAGCTGTCTCTGCAGAAGCAGGTGTTGGACAAAGAGTTGGACACCACGAAAGAGAAGCTGAAGTGGACAGAGGGAGAGCTGAAGGAGAGTCAGAAGAAAGAGACACAAACACAAGCCAAACTGACGGTAATGTAGACACACAGTGATGATCCTGAGTCAAAGTCTACATTTATCAATTATTCACTAGCTGGGCAGTTGGTATATAATAAACTCCATACATTTTTAAACAACATCTTAATGTGCCATCTGTCAGACTAATATTTTTGATAATGCGTGGAGTGTAAATAAATAATAAGTTAATCATGGCTTCTTCAATCATCCAACTGCAGCATCATATTTTAATAAAGATATAGCATTAGACAGAATTTCAAAGAGCTAAAAACATTGGTTGTCAGATTCGTAAATTTTGTAAAAAATGAATTACCTCCCCTACCAGTCACTTTTGCAGCAAATAAACCTCATCCTAGTGTACTCAAAAATGTCCAGGTGTAAATTACTGAATCTGGATGGTGAACTGCTGAACTTGCACACAGTAAAGTGTCTCTCTGCATCAAAATGTCTTGTTAAAACTTTACGAGAGCAGAGGAAATTTCACACTCCTGGGTTGTTTGCTTGTAACATGTGGTCCAGCTTGCAACATAAGTGCTAATGCTGCCTTTATCTACAGCTTGTTTGTCTGTGGTTTGTTGCTGTTGTGACATTGTGTTTGTATGTAGACTCTTTCTATATAGTTATTAGTGGCTTAGCTTTAATCTGATGTTGAGAAATTAAAAATGTCTTATCAGGGACATAGTTGGCAAACATATTTTAGGGATACTGATGTCTTAATTTCACAAATATTTGAAGATCCTGACTTATTAAAGAAGATTCACTCCACTAAGCTGAGCACTTCTTTTAGATGCCTAAATAAATTCAGTCAGAGTTCAGTTTGAGTTGACTGGAATCAACCCACCTCATATTATTAATATAATTTTTTTTATCCTTGCTGTAGGAAGCGGTGCGTGAGGCAGAGGGTGTGGCAGTGAGTCTGGAGCAGAGCCGGAAGAGGGAACGAGCTCTGGAGGAGGAGGGGAAGAGACGAGTGGAGGAACTAGCTGACGCCCTCCGTCTCATCAAAGAACTGCAGGGTGAGCAGTGAGCTGTGGGTGGTGGAGCAAATCCATGAGATTTATTAGTCATGCAATAAGTACTGATAATAGTTATGCAAATGTTAGATGTTATTGAACATTGTAGAGAGACTTTGTTTTCTCTTGCATCCTTTCACATGACAGTCAGAGGTCAGGAGTTGATAAGGGTGCAGGCTTACAGACACTGCAGCAGAACAAATACTGTAGTTGACATTATCTTGAATCAGTGACCTCTGGTGGACTTACTGTGATAATGCTGCCCCGTTGAATAATTTCTGATTTTGTGGAGAATAAAATAGACTTTTTTTTATGTAGGAGGAGTCCTAAACGTTGTACTTGCTGTTAATATATATAATGCAGGACATGTCCTGTTCATTTCCTGCAATGCATGAGTGTTAACCCTGTGCTGCTCTCTGCTGGTCAGTGATGCATCATCCATATTAAAATTCATCTAAATGTTTAAGCAGGTTTAATGCATGGGCTCAATAAGTGGAAGAAAGCAACTTTCTTTAGTGCATATTGGGTCTTTATATAATAAAATAAATTCTTATTCTTTTATTTGTGTCTCTTTCTTTTTAACTCCAGAGCAAAACTCCGCTCCAGCACCCCCTTCACAACCTGTCCAGTTCTGCCCTGTTGGACAGAGTTTCTCACCTCAGTCTTCCTTTCCTCATCACCCTCGACCGGCCACCCACTCCAAGAGACCTGCTTCTACCCGAGCTGAGCAGAGGAGGCAAGAGGAGGAGGATGTAGATGCCAGAGGGGCTGAGATTACAGCATCTTACCCTTCTGACAGAGAGCCAGGAGAAGGAATTGACTCTGAACACATCACTGACCTCGTCTCCCCAGGCTCGGAGCGTTTGCAAAGAGCAGGACACAGAAGAATAAGTAATGAAGAGGATAACAGGAGTAGAAATGAGTTTTCAGACTGTGACATGTCTGGACCAAGCAAGAGTGACTCTTCTCACTCTGTAGTCAGTGCGCCCGTCAACCTGTCTGTAGATGGTGATAAGGTGATTGATCCTGAAAAAACACGTTCCCTCAAGTCCGAGCAGACCATCCCCTCTGAAGAGCTCAAGAGGGAGAATGCCATGCTGCGTTCAGAGCTCCAGGATGTACGTGAAGAACTCCAGAAACGTCTTGAAGACCTTGAAACTCAACGACGGGCCGAGACAGAAGCCAGGACCCGCCTCAAACAGTTGAGCCGCAAACACAGCAGTCAGACTGTGGAGAAGGAGGAGAAAGACAAGGAATGGAAGGCACAACTGGAGAGTGAAAAGGCTGAGACAGAAAGGTTAAGGAGGACCATAGGGGCTTTGGAGGCAGAGATGAAGAGGGTAAGGGAAGAAGGAGACAAGAAGGAGAGAGAGGAGCAGGAGGAGGAGAAAAATCAAGCACAAGAAGACAGAGAGAGTGAAATGATAGAGCTTAATATGCAGCTGAAGAAGCAGCTGGCAGAGTTCAAAGCCCAGCTGGCTTTAGAACGAGAGGAAAGAAAAAGAGAGGAGGAGGAGAGGAACCAAATAACAAACACAGACAGTGATGTGAAGACGGAGCTGAGCATAAAACTAGCAGAACTTCAAGCTGAAGTGGAAGAACTAAAGCGAAGAGGCAAAGAAGAATCACAAGAAGAGGAAAGACTTTCAGTTGCCAACAGCCCACTGACATACTTGACTCTCCACAATGATGAGCTCAACTCAAACATCGTCTCCTGCGATCGCAAGCTCCTCCCTTCACCAGAGCAGCACCTGCTCTTCTGCCAATCCACCAACCAACGCAACATGCTTGTGTCTCAGGCAACAGCAGACATCATCCAAGAAGAGATAAAAGTGATCGATGCTGAGCACTCACCTGTGTCAGATGATGATCAAACAGGTGGAGTGGCCTCTGACCTAAAAGACACCGAACATAACTATCTGGGAGGGTCTTCTCCATCCGATCCCCAGAAAGGTGAAGTTGCTGTCTCTGATCTGGCAAAAGAGGTAGCACACCTACAGGGGGAGTATGCAAAGGAGACAGAACGTGCTAACCAGTACCAAGTAAAACTGGAGGCCCTGCAGAACCAGGTAAATAATGGTGGATATACAGAGACTGAGTAGAAAAAAACAAAAAAAACATATATATTGATAAGGTACAACAAAAACCATTTTTTGTATACTCAATCATCACTCTTGTTTATCAGTTCACTAAAAGATCATGACGGCCAAATGTAGAATCTTTTAATCTCCTTTTTTTTTTAAACTCCTGCTGTGTTAAACCTTAGCCTTTAGTCATGTGTTACTGTTTATGCTACATGTCACGTATTGATCCTTGATCCTTGGGTTCAGATAGAAAGTATTGGTATTACAACATGGAAGATTAATTTTAGGGTACTATTACAGTCAAAGACTATACAAGAGAGAGAACCCCAGATTGAAATCTATGGGAGTATGGAAGTAATGCCAAAGATGGCATTGTATGGCAAATAGCCCTCCAATCCCTCAAAAAGTGAATTGTCATCTTGTTGTCGTGAAACTGTGCACATGCTTAGTACAAGTATGATCCAAAGGGAAAGATGCTTTTTACGCCTCAGTGTGGGGCGAAGTTAGAAAATGTTTTACGATTTTTGTTTTTCAGTTTTAACTGGTGACTGTACATCCAGGTTTTATGTCCAGGTGACCATTGAAATTGCAATTATTGCTCCTTCTCTCCCCATTCATTTAGACAGGGGCTTAGTCCCACTTGCTCAGAGGGAGTCTAAAGGCAACTTTGGATTGTTAGGTTCTCTGTTTAAATCTGTAAGGTCTATACCTCACTGTGTGCTATGTGATGACATATGTTGTTAGCTGCGCTATACAAATAAAATTGAATTGAATAGTCTTATTAGCCCGCAATAATTGGCCAGGGGTGTTGTCAAGATGGCTGCCAAGTGCTGAGACTTCCATAGAAGGACGCTGTTAAAGACGGCAGTCAGAAAAAATATATGGAAAAATGACTACAAACAATAAATATGGAAAAGTACACATGCACATAGATTAATTCCAACATCACTGCTGTAATTGTCTCCAAAACCATTGGAGGAGACAGTGAGGTACACCTCTGTTTAAAAAAAAAAAAAGAAAGAAAAAAGCCTACCTGGCCAAATTGCAAGTTGGTTACAAGCTCAGTACCAAAAGGAATAGAAGACCTCATATATATTTGTTTTTGCCTAATCCAAGGAGGTAAATTCTCAGTCTTGATCAAAGAAAATTTAACTCTGTGTACAAATGAATGCACTAGGAGTACAGATGATCGGAGCTTTCTTTGTGAGGCAAATTTCCAAGTGGCAAAGATCATTTGAATTTACACCAGTGACTTCACAGCATGCCATCACAGTTCTTCCTAGTAGACATTTAGTTTGTAGACTGGTATTACCAAATTAGTAGATATTAGCTACTGTTAAAACTGACTCATAAAGAAGGTAAGCTTCCATGAGAAGAGCAGTGCTTGTTTTTCCTTTTTAAATATGCAATGTGCGCAAGCTGTCCTTTAAACACAGTAAAGTACAGGCTATAGTGGCTCATTACCTGTTTCTCTTCAGCATTTTCTTTATTCCTTCAATCTTATTTTCTTCTCAGGTGACACGTCAGACCCAGCAGCTAACCATGGCCTTTGAGAAGCAGAGTCAGCATATCTCAGGCCTTTTAGCTGAGCTGCAAGAGAAGGAGAGTGCCCTCCTCAGCCAGGGGGAAGAACTGCTGCGATGTAAGCAAGAGCTTGATGTATTGAAAACTGAAAAAGAAGAAGAGATAAAGATGACGGTCAAAGAGGTGGCGGAAGAGGGACAACGACAACAAAAACACGATGACAAGTTGGAGTTGTCGGAGACCCACTCGAAACAGGAACAGAAGTGTCTCATCGCCCCCCACGACGCTGCAGACTCACTGGCGGATGATGACTTACATTTACAGAAAGATGTAAGTCAACCACAGACTAGGACATGTATCGCTGAAACACCAACACTTGGTAGCAGTGAAGAAGACAATGAAGCACGAGGATTGGGAGAGCATCCAGACTCTGTAGACTTGAAAATGGCTCCGAGTAACCACGACCCTGCTTGTGTGATGGTTGAGAATCAGAGCGGTCACAATGGAGTAACAGCAGACATGATTACACAACTGCTTGCTCTCCGACAAGAGAATCAGCTGCTGAAACAAAGACTAGAGGATTTGACCATTACAGACACCAGGAGCCCAACCTCACAGACCGACTTTGAAAACCGAGAAGACCCAGTCACGCAAAGCCATAACACAGGAGATGCTGCTGTGTCCTGCTTAATGGAGCAGAAGACAAATAATGTGCCTAATGACGTCACGACTGAGGAACAGCAGTCGCTGAATGTGAAGAAGAGTGAAGGTGAAGGACACGATCTAGAAAGAGAAGATAAAACCACACAAGCTGAAGAAGATTTAGATGAAGTGTCTCAGGCCCACATCAACCACCTACAGCAACAGGTAGAGGCAGCGAATAAACTCAACACGATGATGTTTCATGTTTTACTGAAAAAGAACGACTAAAAGATTATCTTTCTTTGTTTTAATATGTGAGCTTTATCAGTTTCATTCACTCACTTCTGTTATTTTCTTCCTTTCCAGGTGGAGGCGCTGCAGATGAAGGTAAGAGCTCTCTCTGCAGAGACCCAGCAGAAGTCTGAGGAGCTTGCAGTTTGGAGACTGGCCTCCCAACCAGCCCCAACATTTGACCAACTTATTCCCAGCACAGATGACCAATGTGAAATACAAGAACAGGTCTTTGCTGTCAGACAGTCCCAGTCAAACTTGCAGCCGACAGATGAGATGATCAAGGACCAGGGTCAAACTGTCCAGGAACCCATGCTGGGTACACAGAAGAACCAGGGTAACATCACAGTCGTCAGAGAAGACCAGTTATTCCTCAGCTGCTCCTCCAACAAACTGCAAGTCCGCACATTATTCTCCAGGTAATATGAGCACTAGGAATGTCTAAATTAGATCCTACCATTTGATATAGTATATACATATGTACAGTTTAATGTATGTCTGTGTAAGGTCTTCTTTTGTGTCTGCTGGATTTAACTTTGTTTCTTATTTTATCACAAGACTTCAGAACAGCAATGTTGTTGAACCAAAGAGCCTCCATCCCTCTAAAAAGACTGCAGCACTTCAGGAATACAATCAGGACACTGCCAAGACTGACCAGGTGATTTTTTTCAAAAATCCACACTCACTTACTTACCAGACCACTGTATTTTTCTTTAGGCTCTTTATATCAAGAATATTTTAGTAGAAATCGCTCACCAGCTAAATAAATGCAGCACATTTGAGGCTTACCGGCCCGTAATTTCCTGAGAACTTCCTACAAAGATTCTTGGAAGGAACTGTGTAATTTGGTGCAAATTATAGGGAAAATAAAGAGTGGTTTAAATTGGTACACTTCAAATTAAATAATTCAAAATCATTGCCAGTGTAACCCAGAGAGTCTTTTAGTCAGTGCACAGCAGGCCATCTGAACATGAGAAATTCAGTCTACACTGAAGCATACAGCTCAACATATATTGAGCATAACTTTTTTCATAATAACCAGGTAATGACTGAATGTTTATTCAGGTGTATATTGAGCTATTTCTGTCTTCCTGTTAGTGTCAAATTGCACAGTTTCAATTCTTTCGAGAACATTTCCAATGTAATTTTTCAAGAACCTGTGAAGTAAAGCATTTGTACTTTTGCATAAAAATTCAAAACACCAGTCTGACATAGGAAATATTGCTCTAGTTTCAGTTTTGACTTTATATACACTCATTTTGCCTGTTAAGTTAAACATGAGATCTTTAATTGCTGTGTTTTGTTTCTTGACTCAGGAATCTGAAAAAGAAAACCAAGAAATTAACTTCTTACAACAGTCAGATGCTTGTTCAACGCAATACAAACTGAAGAGAGACACTGAACTCATCCAGATTTCATCAGACAAAATGGCTCAACAACCCGTAGCCAAAGATGCCCACAAGGTCTCGAGACCAAATCCAACCAAAATGGAGTGTTACACAGGGAGACTGGACCCAAAGCAGAACCCTTCTAGAGCAACCAACGAAGTATACACAGTCAGTAATTCTGCAGACAGAGGTGTGAAGTTGGAAATGAAAAGTGTCAGCAGTCAAACAGAGGAGAGTTTGTGTCATCGAGATGTATCAACAGTATGTGCAAACACACAGACAGAAGTGGAGGAAGAGAATGAACAAGAGTTGGTGGATTCCCCTCCTGTCTCTCCTGTCCCATTAGCCGAGGGGACGAGGGAAGGAGAAAAAGTGTTGTTTGCAGGTTCTTTCCCTATCCCGGCTGACCCGGCCCGGCTGGCTGAAAGAATTCGCCGTAACAGGACACAGTTGTCAGCTGCCTTTGATGACACGGAGTATGAACCCTATGGCCTGCCGGAAGTCGTTATGAAAGGTAGGTTTGTTAGCAATCGTAGGTCTGTGAAGTGAAAAAACTGGAAATTGTCAGTCTCAGACTGGAGTATTTTTTGGTTTGTGCAGAACTGAGTAAAGAAACAGTTTGTACAAAATCCTTCTCACATCAGAATCTGTCCACTGATTCCAGCTTACAAGCTTTCAAACCACTGCCTGCTCGGCACTTAACAGCAAACGGCCATAGTTAGAGACTAGCTGGTAAACAAAGTGGAGCATTTAAACTGCTATCGAGCCAGATATTCCTTTAGGAGTTGGTAGAGACTAGACCGCTACAAAAGGGGAATATTGGACCTTTATTAACCAGTTGGACACAAACATGACTCTGAATTAGTTATTGTGTTGTTCGGGCATTGTAGGATGTAAATAAGCAACTATATGCTCCCAACTTATTTAAAAAGTGATGAAAATGTTAAGTTCATTGCCCCCAAGTGGACAAATATTGTGTTTTTGCAAATGTAAAGGAAAACAAAAAAATATGTCTTGTTTTAATTCCTAAAAGATTTATTTTTTTGACAGAACCAGACTATTTGTTTGACCTCCTTCATATCAGAGTATTTATTTTATTATTTAATATCATTATGATTGTTATATTATGTTTTTATGGGATACATCAGATTAACACTCTGGAAATCAGACTATTCAAAGGAGCAGATTTAAAATCAAAACCCTGTTGGGAAAATAAAAAACAAGAAGAACAACTTTGACTAGATAGGATATCAAAAATACACAGTATGGCACCTTTCTGTTTGAATTCTCGGGTACTATATGATACTTTGACCACCTTCGATTCTTCCCACAACAGTTTGCTGGATTAGATTAATTTAATGGTGTTTGTGGGCCATTCATAAATAGAAGCCTCCAAATATAAACCTAAGTTTCTTCTGTTTTTTTCTCTGTGTTCCTTCTGTGTATACGCTCTCGATTTCTGTGGTTTCACACTCAGTTGATCTGCTTTCAGATAATCCTTTAATTTATTTGTTTGTCTCCCCCACTTTTCAGGTTTTGCTGACATCCCCAGTGGCCCCTCATGTCCCTACATTGTGAGAAGAGGTTTGTTAGGCACAACTGTTGTACCAGCCTCTCCGAAAGACCCCGGAGAGGAGGAGGATGAGACGGATTAAAACAGCAACAGGTAACCTCCAGAGAGTATCCCTCATGCAGATTTGTTATTGTTATTTTTAGTAGTAATAATGAATAGTGAGGAGTCTGAATAGGTTCAGTGGCTTTAATAATAACAATGGCAGGGTGTGTTCAGGTGTGTTCAGAGCTTCATCAATAAGATCTGGTCATGGAGATGATTCCATAGCTCGCTGTTCTTAGTTTACTCTTTCCTGCCTTTATGAGTGATGATATCATGGTTACGTATAGAAATAGAAAGGACACAGATTGTAGACATGTTTGAAGATGTCTACTCATGAGACAAAAAATAGTCACAAACTTTTTAAAGCGACAAATGGTATGGCATTAGCGATAACAAGTTTGTTTGATAAGGCACAGCTTCAAAAGCGAGTGTGAGGGTTCTTTGCGTTTTGACTTGCTAACAGGACAACACTTTTAATCCTCTTTTTTTATTGTCAACATATCACTTAAAATCCAACACTGTTCGACTCTGTAGTTTCCAATTTTCCCAGGTAGTTTATCCACACAGCAGCATATTCATTAATTTCTGTGTATTCTTTGCAAACACGTCACAACTCAGACACACAAGATCTAGTTTTTTAAAAATGTTTAATGTTGAATTTTTACAAACATGAATCAAACAGGAGTAAGTATTGTTTTGTTAGGATTATTTTTCAGCTATGGATTTTGGCCACTAGTGATTATTTCCATGAACTGTTTAGATAATGGATTATCACAGTCATTTTTAATGGAAAAATAGTGAACTTGTCAAAATATTGATCATTGTCCAGTTGCAGCTTCTGCAGTGAGGGGATTTGCTACGCTTCTTAAATCACTGTAAAATACATGTCTTTGAGTTTTGGATTGTAAACTTAACAAAAATCTTTCAAACATTTCACTTTGGACTCACCGTCACCTTTTTGACATTTCACGGCAAAAACAGTTATTCAGTTATCAAACAAACAATCAGCATATTAATCAGTAAAGAAATAAATCATTAATGCAGCTGTTTTATTCGTGTTTATTCATAATCAAGGAACAGTCAACAGTGTGGCTCCGTGGTGGTTGTTACTAAAGACTTGGCTTTTAATAGGATTTTTTTTTTTTTTTGCAGAAAATTTCACTAGACTTATCTGCAAAAATATACTACACATCTTCACAAAAATCTTTACATCAAGTGAACTTATTGACAGATTGTTTCCTTTTTTTGTTTGATTATGGCTATTTAGATTCTGTGTAAGAATAAAATTTGTATGTCATACTTTTGCATGTTTTTGTCTACTAGTTGTCTACAGATCTGATGGGAAGACCTGATCACGATGGCTTCACAATGAACCTGAGTGATGGCCGACAGCAGCTTCAGTGACTCGAAGCACTTCAGACTCTGAAACAAACACAAGACCAGTTCAAAAAGCTTCGATCAGCCATGGACTGCTGTACATGTGTGTGCAGGTAACTGGGACTGCACCGATAGAATAAACACTCCACTGTGGATCCAAAATGTATAAATGGTCATGAGTTTATCCTCAAATTACTATGTGGAGACTTGCCCATCACCATGCTGCCACTTTTCACCCACCTGTATATTTATGTATAGAGGTGGTGATTTAGTGATGCCTGTTGATGTTTCTTGAACCACTTTTCCAAAGGGATTGTTTAGTTTTTTGAAACTCAGAAGTAACTTATGCCTCGCCTTGGCTTACTTTGAATCAAACAGTGCCTCGTTGATGTTTTTCTAAACAAGCACTTGTCAAGATAAGTTTGACTTGTTTTCCAAAAGGATGAAGCCAAGAGAGGCCTGTTGTGAGAACATGATATATATTTTCTTTCTTTTTTTTTTCTAGTTTTTTGAGGTGGCTTATTTATGGACACTTGAATGTGTTTTAGTTACGGGACGTTTACAAAATAATGTGTGAAAGCATAGTGAGTGTGTGTGAAACAATAGCTGTGAATATGAACATGTGTGTCCCCATCTTGATGTTACTGTTTGTGTGTGAGGGAGAGAGTGGGGTGAGCACATGTCTATGACTCAGTCTAACCTGCATTGGTTTCCGCTCCATGTATGGTGATGCACTCTGCGCTCCCTCTCTGCTCCCTCTCCTGCTTTGCTTCTCGGTCTTTTACACTAACAAGCTCTTGGTGGTTAGTTTCACAACAAATTCACCAAAAACTAAACATTTTAAGCTTTACTATGTTAGAATGCAGATAAATTGAGGTGGTATCTTTATAATGGATCAGAAATAATTTATTTTACCCATGTACTTGGGTTTTTTGTGTTTTTTTTTTTTTTTTGCACATTCGTTACTGTGCCATAGTCCATGTTTATACATTTCGATTTTGCAGATGAGTTTGGAGTTGCTGTTCAGTTTGTCGTGTGTCCTGTAGCAACAGATCTCACTGCTTTGCTTACCTACAAGACTTGACCAGTTAAAGGAATAAGTTCACATTTTCCAAAGTCTAATTAACACCATATTCTCATGTCCATACTTGCTGTTGAATTCCCTTTCAAAAGCAATTTCAGTGTAAGTAATGGGGAGCTGAATCCACAGTCTTGGATCTTAAGTTTAGCAGAAGCCAATATGACACTTGAAGCATCTGAGTTAAGGTTTGGTTACACAAGAACGGGACACAGCATAATTTGTCTTTACTTCCCTCTGAAATATTTGCTTGGAGCTTGAAGCTTGGTGATGCAGCTGCTATACTTGCAGGGCTTGTAGGTGAAATGAACAGTTAGTCACAGCAGCTCCTGGAGATTTTCAGTTTTATCTCTTCTGTTCTGTTTTCCCTCTTGGTATTTGATTTATCAACAGTTACTGAGGAAGGAAAATGAAACTCTTTAGTGTGGTGGTCGACCAATTTTTCCAGGTCAAAACAAAACTGATTCTTTGCAATCAAGGAGACCAGTAACTGATCTTGGAACCATTATACATTTAAAAATAGGGTCAACTCGGCACTGTGGAGGTGCCTTGTTTTTGGTCAACGGCATTGAATTTGTGTGTCAAAGTCAATGTTACAATTTTACGTTGATTTACGTAGTCTGTAAACAAACCCACTAACTGCTGTGATTCCAGTGGAATGACTTGTTAAAGCACAGCGTGACCAGCCCTTTAGCCTAAGGGTTTCTTCCAAAGTTGGACTTTACAGCTCAGAATTTCCTCTTTATGTTTCGATGGACAGTCGTTCGTTGCTGAGTTCTGGCGGACTGATTGAAGCAAAATAAAGTTTCAAAACTAAAAGCACCGTAACATCCGAACAGACTGATTTAATTTGTCCAAGTTAGGCCGCCGAAGTCTCATATAAGGTTACCAGTTAATTACACTGAAACTGCTCTCAGAAAGGTTCTCTGTACAGCTAGTATGAGGAATAATTGAAGTAGAGTACTTTTGGTTTTTAAACTTAATTTGTGTTTCAAGGTAGTTGCCCTCTCCTGGCCGTGGCTTGTTGGCTCAGTGAGAACACAGTGGACTGTTGCTGCCCTGAATCAATGTCATTTATCTGCCATTCGGACCCCCTCGCACACACACAAACACACACTTCGCCTCCCTCTCAGCTGCCTTCATATCTCTGGGATCTGTAGTCTTTTGGCAGTGAGGAGGGATTGTCAGACCCTGAGCAGGGAATGTCACTGCGGGTTTGTTGCCTTGTTTTGAACACTTTTATGTGAATGTATCTGTATTGTGTCCGCGGCTAGAATAAACGGCTTCCTTTGAATTTACATCTTGTCTCTCTTTGAGGCCCTTTGAGCACGAGCCGGGCCCTGTGTTTTATATTTCATGTCATGATGATAGGTCTGTTTGGTCCGCTATGTGCGAGGAGTTGTTTTTAGTGCTGGTGTTCAATTAAGTCTAAATGAGCGCCATGGTCCAATGAAGACAGCCTCAAAGTGTTTTTAAGTAGAATATCTTGATTAAATCACATAAGTATTTCCGCAATTACCAAAGTCCTCTCCCTTTGCCTCTTGGTCACAAACACATTGCTGAGAAGGTGCTGAAGGCTTTAAAGGAGCAGACTTGGATCAAAGAATTAAAGAGTCAATGAAATAGATAGACTCTTCATCTTTAGAGTCTGTTTTATTTCATCGTGCAATTCGTCCTCGAGTACTAGAAAAATTGTGTGTACTATAACTCTGACTTTGAAGAAACAAGTGTCTCTTTTTACTTCCCAAAAAGACAGAGGTTGCAAAGGCGAAGGATTTAGAGATCTAAACCCTCCCACGTCCAGCTCAGGAAACCCCGGGCCCTCTGCTCTTCCTCTGCAGTGACGGCACTTTATCACACTCACAGCGCCGTAATGGATTTCACATGCACTCACACGGCCCAGCCTCGTCCCCTTCTTCATCTCCTCCTCCTTATACGATCTGCTCTCCTCTGACAAGAGTGATGTAGGGTCACGAGAATGGGGAAACACCTTCCAAGGAGAAAACACACATGCACACATGGATTTTCACAACACACACACAGAGCTCTGTGCTGAATGGTGAGAGAGCGGAACATGCTGCATGAGGCGAACAAGGATAGCAACATTTCTCCAAACTGAAGGTAAGATATGCACAAAATAATGTCTTTGAGGAGGGTTACTACGAGTTAAGTTTTTGAGAAGTGACCGATCTGTTAGTTTCACTGGATAAGCAGAAATGTATATTTTTATCATGCATGCTGTTTGGTTTTAGATCCACTTTGGAAGTGTAGCTCTGAGGCCTCGATAAGTTTCTTTTTGCTTAAAGGTTACCAAGTATAGTAGCAGACTGTCACACTGACTTAAAAAGAAATGATCGATCCTCTGCTCTGACTTTCCTGCCTGTGTGAGTTCTCTCTGACCCTAACACTGTGAATAATGCAGTAACTACAAGCAAAACTTAGAAGCCAATGTGTGTAGTTGCTGTATATGATAAATGTTTTATAGTGGGAATGTTTTTCTTTGATTTTGTTGCTTTGTACCAAAATTTCAGCCAGTTAACGTTTTTCTGTGCTACTTCTGTAGCTCAAAACAATCCCATCTTTATGTGACGATCACTCCTTTCCAGAGCATGAAACCAGAGATCCAGAATTGTAACCTGTGATCTCCTTCTGACGTCAGCGTTGCTCGCTGAAAAACTGTTAAATACTTTGAGGGGTAAATACATCTAAAGGAGCTTTATTTCCTGCCCGCACTATAAATTCTTTGGTAGATACTACATCTTCACTCGTAGACATTCATCTCTGGGGGCTTGGATAAAAGGGGTTGAGGCAAAATTTTTGTCCAGCCGTGGCAGATGTTTACGTTGACAAACAGGCCTCTTTTTGTTCACTGACATACAGTAGAAAGAGTACAGTCACAAATTCTGTTGATTTGAGCCTTCAGCTGCAGCGCTTCATTGAGATTAGCCTTTACGTTTGTTTAGGGTCTTACATACTCCATTGCTGTGTTTATTGTAAAATAAATGCAATCATAAAGTCAAAATAATTTTTCTCATCTTCTCAACTTTTATGAAGCGTTAACCCGTCCCTTTGACAAAAACTGCAAAAATGATCAGAAAATGTTAATATGTTAAATAAGGAAACGTGGTTTAAGAATAGATTAACTCATTTTGTTGGACAAAAATCCTTCAAACAAAGAAATGTAAACAATATTTTTGTACACGGTGAACCCAGGAATGTTTATCACCCTGTGAACTAACTTATGAATTGTTAGAAAACTCCAACAACAGAAATCCAAATATTTATTTTATAAGTAGTAGTGCTATGTTGAAAATACTGTCAGTTAGAGTCAGATATGAAGAATGTAGAGCTTGTGAACATCTATTCATAATAATATGAATCAGCTGATGTCTCGAAGACTCCAAAATAAATCTAATTTCCTGTGGGAAGAAGTCATCAATTCAAAAATATGTTTAGAGACAAATTTCGTAAGATGAGAACATTTTCAGAGTGATTATTTCAGTATCATGTTTAAAACTATTTAAATAGCTTCCTCCTTTAAATGAGCAGAACAATGTTTTCACAGTTTAACTATTAAAACAAGTAGTCAATGTCTGCTCTCAGTGCAAAGCAGGTTGATAGTTTCCACATCACAGTTAAATACTGAACATCGATTGGTTCCCAAACTAGTTGTGACGTGTGAAACTGAGATTTAAGTTGAACCCTCAGAAAGAGAACATGAAAGCTGGCATCTGCACGTGCTTCATCCTACACAGTGACGCTCAGACAACCAAGTTACATAACAATAAGCAAACCACATATTTTGGTGGAGGAGGACTTGAAGTGGGTTTTGTTAAAAAGGACCCTCAGTCTGCAGGATCACAAACTGAACGTGATGGCTTAACAAATCACACTTAGAGGAACATTTGCAACAGGTTCAGCTCTTTTCCATTTTCGTAGTCAATCTCAGTTTACGTAGATTTTTCATATACACCTGCCTTGAATGTAAACCTAAGAATAGTCTGTATACATCTCGTCCTGGCCTCGTGCTTCCCTCCAAACAGCTCACCTCATGATTTATTACCCCACCTGCCCCACTGTTTAACTTAAGATTAGATCACAGCCTGTCAGCCACACATCCCTTCTCTCTCTAAGCCCCACTCACTCAATATCTTAGCAAAATATCAAAATATGCCAGCGAAGGTTTAGACAGCGATAACTAATAATATGTCAGTGTTGAAGCCGGGGCAGAGAGCGAGACTCTCCACACAAACCAAAGCCAACAGTCCATTAGTGCAGAATGCTAACAGTTGAGACTCTGGGAAATCTCAGGACACTGTCCAGGTCCACGTGGACTCGACCAGAGCCGGCCGACCCCGAGCAAGAAGCTTCCTAAATCCCTGCCCCTGTTGGTTTGGGGGTCTATCTTTAAGGTAAACGCAGTTCAAAAAAAAACATTACAAGCAAAGTGAAGATAAGTGATAAACATGTTTTCGATTAATGTCAAGATTAATGGATTTTTGGCAGAGTCTAATCATGTGTGAGACCACTGGCAGGGTGGCCTGCTGTGTGTCACTTCTTCCCTGGTTATTATGACAAAGTCCCTGCAATGTGCACACTTATTTAAAGGCACTAATGCCCTGCTGAGACAGAGCGAATTGGGGAAACGTGCCAGCTTAAAGCTTCTAATACACTTTACACACATGATTTTGGTCTTTACCTAACCTAATCTGTACTTTTGTGTGCCTGAAAGTATTCAAGTGGTTTGAAGGGAAAAGTAATAGACCCACAATCCTCCACTCTTGAACCCTGAAGATACAGGCGATCAGAGAGCAGGCAGAAAGTGAATCCTAAAAGGAAAGAGGAGTCCGATATTTCCTCATCACCTGATTTGCAGAGCTTTAACATGGGATGACATCAGTGAGTTAAGGTACTGTCACAGTTATCCTCTTGGCTATGAAACATGCTTTAAAAAAAAAAAAAGCGGGGTGGGGGGAACAAACGAATCGAAAAGCATGTGGGAGTGAAGAATAGGTCCTTTCAACATTATAGTAATGCTGCATTTCGCTGTGATCACACCGGCGGCTCCACTGAACTCACTTATCCTTTTATCCAATTCAAACAAGCACATCTCTGACTCTAACTGTGCAGACTCTAATTTTTGATACTGTTTGTTTAAGGAGTGTTTCCTGGCAGGTCTGAATTTCAGTCGAGCCAAGCACAAAACAAAACAATCTTTGTCTGGACAGACAGATTTGTTTATCTAGCAGCTGTAAGGTTCATTCCACTAATCGTATCTTTAAGCAGTAATATTATCATTAGAATTGTCTCAGAACATCCTTTGTTACACACTAATACGCAAAAATAATAATCTTTGTTTTTAAAGTCCATTCTAAAAATTGCTTCTTAAGGTGGTGAACTAAAGCAAGTCATAAAATCATCAAGTTTTAATCAGTATGTAAAAATACAATTTGTTAAAACTTAAGTTAAATAATGAAAGGCTCTCTGATAAAGGTAAATTTTGATAATTAAAAGACGTCACTTACTCAGACGACCTTATTTTGTGTGGCACGTCGTTCACTCTGTCCCCTTTAGCTGAGCCCCTGAAACTGGCAGAAGCCCTCTGCCCGAGGATCTCACAGTCCGTACAGAACTAAAAGGTCAGAGGTCTTAGCTAGTTAAGAGGCCAAGAAGGATCTTAGAAGTAAAATCATAAAACCTCCCCTAAAACATGCTGTGAGGCGAATGAAGGCATGCAAGATGGTCTTTGTGTCTTTTAAAGTTCAGATAGATTATGTTTTTTGAAATATTTTTGAGATCATAAAAGTAATAGAATAGAAATAGAAAAATTCCCACGTCAGGATGGTTGTATGATGACAGAGTTGTTATCATCAACAACATCAGGTTCTCTGTGTTTTATGCTCACACTGATAAAGACAAGATTTCCAATACTGGGGTGAATAAATCGTTTGTGCAACATCTTGTTATGGGCTTGCATCGACGCTCATTCTGACGTCCACAGGCTGTGTGTGTGTACTACAGAAAATTGTTGTACAACCACGCTATGAACGCCTTTTAGTCCTTCGCCTGTAAACCAACCCGAGGCTTTAGGAAACAGGCCTACAAAGCATTCTATAGACAATTTTGTCCATTGAATGCTTTGGTAATCGCCCCTTTGATTGCTGACTCAGACAGCTGAAGTCTCATTGATATAAACTGGAATAGGACGGATTGTGTTACACAACTCTTGTATTGAAATCACATAGGAAGAGCTTTCAGTCTACAGGCACTGTACACATGCAAGTATTGTTGTAAGACAGACTTCATAGACTTTACTACCGTCAATGCAGCAGCTCTTAAGGTAACTCAGACTGTTTGCTGCTGGTTAGTGTAAACATTTTATGGCCTGATATTGTGTTTTATCTCTAATGCACTGCAGCTGTCATATTTTGTGAGAAAAGTGCAGGAAACACTAAATGAAAATCCTGTGTTGTTCTTCTACACCATGTCAGCCATTCTCACTGTTCCTGTCTGGCCCTGGTTTGACGCACAGATGCGTAAAGTGTGTTAATGTCTTCCAAGAACACTTGCGTTGTTCGTTCAAACATTTCCGTGCTCACACTCTCTGAGGGAACTTCCTGTTTATGTCCAGTTGCGTCCCAGTGCATCCTGACTGAGGGTCCGTCTGGCCTCTGAGCTCGGACCCCTAACCCTGGAGGAGCAGGGGGTGGGGTCAGCCGGGAGAAAATGCGGTGCTCCACCCTCACCACCCTGCTGACGGGGGTCACGCTGTACCTGGTGATGGGGGCGCTTGTTTTCCTCACCCTGGAGACTCCTGGGGAGAGCCTGGCACACAAAAACCTGCTTCAGACTCAAGAAGACTTCCTCAGTAACAACTCCTGTGTCACTGAGTCGGACTTCGACACACTTGTGAAGGTATTTCTGGACCCACTAAGCAAACTCTCATTACAGAATCTCATCAAACATGAAAGGGTATATAAAAACACACTCTTTATATGCACTCCACATAGAAGTATACAGTATTGATCATTCTGATTTCCCTTTTCAGAAAACATGAATTTTATTTTAAAACACTGAGCTCCTGGACAAACATGCATTTATTATACAATATGTAACTTTGATATAGTGTGTAGGTTAGGAATGCAGTAATCACAGTAAATCTGTTGAATATACAAGTGCAAATATTTCTGACACTAATTACTAAATATTTAGAAATAGCTTGTGTCTGTGTTGGGTACACAACAATTGAAATACACGTAATCTGCAAGTACGTAAAGCAGCATTATCAATCAAGCCAGATTCACTTCAGTAAATCAGCTGATTTATGTAAAATTCCATTACGAAAAGGAGACTCAACGACCTCTTTGCCTGCAACATTGTTTAGGTGTGTGGTTTGTATCAAAGTAACATCCACATTAATGCCAGGACCAAATGTTAACCAGCAGAACATTGAGTTACAACAACACGATCGGTGTTATTTACGTCACCTGTCAGTGGTTTTAATGTTGTGTCTGGCTGGTGTATCTCTCCAGGTACAATTAATCTGCTGTAACAGTGTTTTCTAAAGGGTTCCTGCACTGTTCACATCAGTTCTCTGTACACACCAGCTTTACCGCATTTTGATGTCTGGACATTAGTACTTGTGCAAAATGTGGCTTTTTAATTACAACACTTTGACCTATGACTATAGCCTCACAATAAGTATCATTTTCTAATTTCTCTCTCTTTGAAAGTCACCTGCATGACATAACTAAAAGCACTAATAAACAAGAGGGTCAGACAGCATGGTTGAATAACTTTAAAGAGTAGTTTTTCCATATGGAGGCAGTTATGTGACTGAGACCAACCAGTGGTGTAATGTAACTAAGTTCAGTTGTAAACAAAAGCTTCCATACACTTGTAAAGACCATGTATATCATGGCAGTCTTTGGTTTGCAATGAGTCATATGACTCGTAATTTTCCATGGTGTCTTTGTCAAGAAACAACAACAACATCTTAGATAAACTGTAGATCCTCTGGAAAAAAAAAGACAAATTCTGCTGGTTTATTCATTACATGCTCTATACAAGTGTGTGGAAAATTTCTGCCACTGGTAGTTCTCTATATTTAAGAGGCAACCATTATACTTTCTACACCGCTTCATCTGTTGTTAGCAGTTCCTTTTCAAGACATTACACACATCAGACTTACATAATATGACACAGTATTAAAGATTAAAGCTGTATTATTATTTATTTTTTTTACCTTAAGATGTCCTACAAAAAGCATGTCTAGTCGAGGACCTTAGTCAGGTTTAAGACAAGAAGATTCCCCAAGAGATTTAATTGCATTTAAATTGCTTGAATTCCAAAGAATGCCAGAAAATGTAAAATATTTCTCAAAAAATTATAGTGAGAGATTCGAGAAATCTCAAAAGTATCCATCTGAAACCAGACCCATCAGAAGTATGTTTCTCTTTGATTGATGCAGCAGTATTCGCAGCCTTATAATGTCATATATATTATATCACGACATAACCAGTATTTTTATTTTTTTTTCGATACATAAAGTACATTTTACTTATGACACTCTATTTCCAAATTTTCAATGCCCTCATTTCAGACTTTAATGATATTTTATGACATGGTATATCTTGTACACTCATTTTTGGTACTAATGACACCGAAAAAACTGAAATTACTTATATTGGACTTGATTACAAGCACAGTCCTGCAACAGCTTTTACATTATCTGTTAAATATGTGCTGCTCTGTAAGCAATACAATATACATAGATATTGTGATAAACAACATAGAAATACAAATAAATTAAGCTAAACTGAGGTTGTGAGCAGGTTCGTGTTGAAGGATGGATCTTCCAGTTAAATTCCGTCCCACACCTGCAGGGACTGGTGTCTGCAGTCAAGGCAGGCCTGGATGTGAGCAACCTTCCTTCCAACTTGACCACCCGCTGGGACATGGCCTCTGCCATCTTCTTCTGTGGTACCATCATCACCACCATCGGTAGGTGGAGCTGCAGGGACACTTTCTCTCAAGTGAAGACCTCTGCTGACTAAATTGTATTCCTGATGTGTAGATAAAAATTTTCACTCGGAGCTGCTGCAATGTCCAAAATATCCGAGTTTAATCCTAATCATTCTGTCCTCTTTACAACCAAATCTGTAGTCTGTGAAAACCTTTTACCTGCTTGACTGTTAATTGAATAATCGATCAATTATCATGTAATTGTTTACCTCAGCAAAAATAAACATGAATCTACTTAAAATCTATTTAGATTTGTGTTCTGAGAAACTGGAGACTGGAGGTGAAGTGATGTTTTAAAACAACATCGCTAATGTGGAAGCAAAAATTATCTCATTGGTGCCCAAAAAATTAGACAGTTAACTTCTAACTTTAAAATGTGAAAAAGTTGGATCTGTATAAACAGAAGAGAACAAAATGATGATTACATAATTTTTTTGTTAGAAGTTTTCATCCCTATTGCTTGTTTTTTCTTCAAAGCTTTATCTTCTGTTCACCGTTTCATGTATGTTTTTAGGCATCTAAATCTGTGTGTAGTGACTCATATTTGTGTATGTGCCTGTGTGAACAGGTGACTCCATTACTGTCCTCATGTTAATCCATCTATAATGAAAGTTACTGATACAGAAATGTTCACAATCTGTTGGGTCACAGTCTGTGAATGTTGTAACAAAAGCTATTATCTCTGATATTTAAAACTTCTTAATAAAGCGAGCTTATCTGAACAGCCGTATGTGTTTTTTATTTTTTTATTTTTTTTAAACAGGCTTCGGCAACCTGTCTCCTCGGACCTGGTACGGCCAGCTGTTCTGTGTGTGCTACGCCCTGGTTGGCATCCCCATGTTTGGCATACTGCTGGCTGGAGTTGGTGACCACATGGGCACAGTGCTGCGAAGAGCAGTGGCCAAGATTGAGACCCTCTTCCTGGTGAGAATGGTCTGTCCTGCCCAGGAAGAAACCTCTGTTGGATTTACACCCAACTGAGTCACAGCTTTAAACCTCAGAGGCCTCTGGTCATTGTAAATAAATAGGTTCTGTGTGAGGTTCTGGTGAGGGGCCAGGGGCCCTCCTACCTGGATGTGACCCATTGCTGTTATATAAATACATATTCTTCATATGAAGGAAGTCAGTTTTTTAGTCTAATTCAGCCTTGCCCTTTTGAAGGAAGGAATCATATCTTGCTACAAAATCAAACAGCTTAGAGCAGCTGCTGCCTCTATACAAAAAAAAAGTTGTCTCTGCATGCCCTACATGCTCCTATTCAGCAAACTATTGCAGTGTATATGTAAGCACAGAAGGCCGTAGAGAAGCAAGCGGATATAAACACTCTCTGAGTTCAGGTTGCATTAAAGCACAGAAGCCGACATGAAAACACAGTAAACCCCCCCCAGTCCTCGTTTATTGGTTTCCAGCATCTCTGAATGTCCCTCAGCATTACAGTTTCTACAATTGTGAGAACATCAAAAGAGACAGTCAAAGCTCATGGTAACGTCAGCTACATTAGCCATGCAACATGCTGACACTAAGGATTTCCCTATTGTTGCGGTGACATTGCCATCAGTGGAGTTGGCAGATGCAGCTCTAGAAAATAAACAAACTCAAAATCTCAACCAGTATGTAAAGATGAGGGGGGTTTGAGCATTGGTATTAGTTAACGTCTTCATATTCCCGCAGCTTTTATTTTCCTCCTCTCTAGTTTTTCAGACACACAAAACACAATGAAAATGGATTTTCGCTGTATGGGACCTTTAAAGTCTGTGTTGCAGTGGAGATCTGCTGAATGAACATAGCTGTTCTCAGCACTGCAGCCGCTGCACAGGAGCCTTCTTAGGGCTACCATGGGATTTGTAGCTGAGGAATTTGCTTAGTTAATTTTAATATCTGAAATTTTTCTGACAGTCTGGATACCTGAGTGGCCAACTTAAAAGTCGCAGATGTAATTTCCTGTTTTTAGAGCTTTAAACCTGCCGTGCATAACTATTTTCCCCCACTTGTGGCAGTGAGAACTGTTGCATAACTATTGTTAGTCCTTTATTCTGTATCTGCATATGCTGCTGTCTTTCTCTTAGAAACGTAAAGTCAGGCCCACAACGGTGCGTGTGATCTCAGCAGTTCTCTCCATCCTGATTGGCTGTCTGATCTTTCTCGCCGTGCCGACAGTTGTGTTTCATCAGGTGGAGGACTGGTCGTTCCTGGAGTCGCTCTACTTTGTGGTCATCACTCTCACCACTGTTGGCTTCGGAGACTACGTACCAGGTACTGACACACACAAACACTAGGGCAGCAGGCATGTCTTATGTGGGGTCCAAACCCACTCATGATTAACAGGAAAATCTAAGTTTTGATGCACAAAATTCTGTTTCTTTTACAGACTTCTTCTCCTTATAAAATGTAGTGCAAGTTTGTCGCTAATAACTGAACATTCTTTGTTCACACCCTGTGATGAGAATAAATGTGTAACTGATGATGCTTTTTGTAAGCTGTGTTCACATTATAGTGAATGTCCTTGTGCTGCTTTACTTAGTGCACCAAGCAACCCGTTGTTATTGCTGATTTGAATAGGTACTGCAAGAATCACAATCAGTTAATGATAGTACATTTTGAATTCCAACAGTCTAAGATGAACACATGACAAATTTGGACTTTTGACTTGCTACGATGCCCCATTCCTACTTTGATGTAAGATTGTTGCAGCCTACCACATATGCCCAAAATCACAGGTGAATTCACTACTCAGTTATCATTGATTCATTTTAAAAGTAAGAACACTCCCACATTTGCTGTTTCTAGTTTCTCAAATGTGAGTAGTTGCTGCTTGTCTTTGTTGTTCTCATTATAAGGTAAATATATTTGAGTTGTGATCAGGCAAAACAAACAGTTCGAAACAGTTTGATCACTCTGGGCTCCATGAAATGGGATGACTATCATTTCATACATTACATATCTGATCTGAAAGTAATCTGCAGATTAATCGATAATAAAAATGATCGTTTCACCACTGTGCACAATAATGGAAAAGACTTAAACCTGGAGTGCAGGACTTCTACCTATTAATGAACCTCTGCTCTATTCAAGCTCCGACTAAACAAGTTCATCATGCTGATTAAACCTACCTGCACCAGGTAGACTCCTCTGTATTTCACAGTTTCCTGGAGTTTCAGATCTGGTGTCTGTGGCCACATTCACCTGCTGGTGCACCTGTACTAAAGCATTAACTAGCAATGAATAGTTTGTCAGAGCTGAAGAGGTTAGCAACCACAGAGACGATGTTACAGAATCTAGCAAGATGATGGAGCTTTTGGAGGAAAAACCTAAAGAGGATGTGAGAAAAGCTCAGAGAGAAAGTTATGTATAAAAGAAAGCCACGGAAAGTGAATTTAGTGTTGACAGTAATTACTCTGACTGCCAGAAGGGGGAGACAGAAGTGCTGTACTGCAGGTTTAAGCAACAGCAGTTTGACTGCAATATTGTGAACATGTCGAAAGGTGTCTTTAGAAAAATGATTGGGAGTCACTGGTCCAGTGGACAGAGAAAAGCCTCGTCTGCAGTCTTCTTCCATCTGTTTAACTGATTGAGAAAAGAGGTGATTTTCTCTAACTTATGCTACCTTGCATCTTCTCTCCTCGTGTTACCTGAAAGTCTACCCCCTGTGCCGTCATGAAAGACCTTTCGGTCCCTTAAATTAACCTTGACGAGATGAGGGGTGAGGAGGCTCCTGGAGGAGCTTAGAGTGAGGAAACACAGGTATATCCTTGCACCTCTTCCTTACATCTCCTCTCACATCCTCATTGAAAGGAGCTGAGATGTGAGGAAGAGGAGCAAGTGAGGGAAGAGAGGAAACAAGTTAGCAAAATAAGAAGCACTAATGGTGTCCCAACCAGGTCCAGGACTGTCTTCTGTGAGGTGGCAACAGAAGGGAGAATGCTGTCTCTGTGATAATCTGGATCATCACATGCCATCAGAACCATTTTTAAGTTCACTTTATCTGTGTCCAGGTGGCAGAATCTTCAAGCCTCTGGTGTTGTTGTGGATAGTGTTTGGTCTTGCCTACTTTGCCTCCATTCTCACCATGATAGGAAACTGGCTGAGGGTGCTGTCTAAGAGGACCCGTGCTGAGGTGAGATATTTACTGTGCTGGACAGCAGGAATGTAAACCAAGAAAGGAAGAGTTGAACTTAATCTTGTCTCTCATCTCTGTTGGAAATGTTTCCCTCTCAGATGGAGGAGTTGAGGGCGCACGCTACAGATTGGACACAGAACATGGACTTCCGGATCCCAAACCCTCTGGAATTCAACGACCCTTTCCTCCTGCAGCGCCGGCGCTGGAAACGCAGTGAGCGTCGCCGCATTCGTCGGGGAGCCCAGGGCACTCTGGGATACCTGGTTCGAGGGGGATCTGAAAATGGACACCTGCCGAACCGCTGGGCTGGCCTCTCCAGCTCCATGACCCAGCTGGAGGCCCATTCGTCTCTAGAGAGGGCGGTGGTGGCTAAGTCAAAGCCACGGGGGAGCGCTGCTGGAGGGATAACAAGCCAGAGAGCGGCGCTGGGACAGAGGACTGAGCCTGCTGTGGGTCTTCAGAGGCCGGGCAGGTCGTTTCCTCACATGCTGGCCCGCTCATTCTCCGTCCCGGTGGCTCGCTCAACCTTAGAGCTGGACTCAGCAGGTGTACCCATGCAGGAAGGATCGCTCACTGGATCTGAGTCTCCGTTTGACTCCAGGTCAGACGACTCCTCAGTCTCCTCATCCTTCTTGGCACTCCAAAGGTTCCAGCCCAGCCACACTGTCAGCAGCATGGAGGAGGGCGGAGCGAGAGCTCTCGTCATGACCACCGCACAACAGAAAGACAAACCAATTCCTGCAGAGAACTGTGAATCTGTAGTAAACAATAGCCACAAACATGCACCTGCCCCTAGTTTTCCTTCCCATTCCTCCCGTCTTGCCCCCTCCCACCATCCAATCCTCCCTCCATCCCCTCACGTCTGCACTGCCTCCTCAGCAGGCTGCCAGCTGCTGGACTTCTTTGGAGAGAACCTGGCGTACATCGACGAGTCCTCAGACACCCTGAGTGACCGCGCCCAGTCGACAACAAGTGAAGAGAGGAGGAGGCGGATACGAAAGCCCAAGAAGAGGAGCATGAGGAGGCAGCTGTCACACAGGTGGAGCCCCCTGCAGGTGAGGAGGCCCCACACTGACATGTCACCACCATCCAACCCCCCACCGCCACCTCCAGACTCTTCTCTTTCAGACCTGCCCCAGTCAGGGAACCAGATAGATTCAGTTTCTGCACTCTGACAACCACCATACTCACAGCATGGTGCCTAAGTCCAGATTTGGCAAAGCATAAAGGCCAATTATTGCTTCCACGTCCATATGTGCGGACTGATATGGACTTTGAAAGTGGATGCACACGGAGTTCTACTTATGCTACAACAAGTATGCATCGATGGTTTCACTGCTTCTCATATCGAACACAGAAAAATCCACAGAACGCCTGTGGATGTTTCTGAAAGCTGTGACTTTGTGCTTTTTACAGGATATAGCAGCTATTTGCAGACTGGACAACAGCACCATGTCAATGTGATAATTCCTGGGTGTAGACAGTGCGTCGGTGGACAAAGCACAAGATTTCTGGAGAATTTAGAGCTTTCTATTGTGTTTGGGCTCTGTTGATGGAGAGCATATAGAAATCAAAGAGCCACCAAAGTCCAGCCATGACTACTTGCTTAAATTACAACTCTTCTAATTATCTAAAGCATTTGTTTTATGCAGAATTTGTTTTCCTGGTGTATGTGCAGACATCCCGCTTGCAGTGCAGACAGTCTGTGGGATCATATATTTTGAGCCACACGCGGACATCTGCAGAGGAGTCTGTTTATACCCTCCCAAACTTAGATGGATGACATAATGTACATCACACATACCCTTGCAGACCCACAAACACGAAAAGTATGAATACGCCTGAACAGTCCACATTAAAGCTGTTGGTTTATAGCAGTTTGAAGATACATACTTCAAGCAAATCTCACCATCATGAAGGTGGCTGATGTACTGGGATGTTTTAGTATTTATGATTAGCCTCACTAAATTATTTTAGAAATGTTGCTTTGTTCCTCTGCGGTCACAGCTAAGATGGCCTGACTTTACCAGTCACCGCTAGCGTGACTAAAACGACATCTGAAGGTTGTTCCTACATTGTTCTCAACACAAGACTTACAAATAAATCCGATGAAAGAGACTAATCTAACTTTCAAAGAGGGAATCATGTTAGACTTAAAAATGGGTCACACCTGGTTTAGATAGTTGATGACAAGTGTCAGGAGGGAATGAGTCACATCATTATCTAAATGTCATTACACATATTTATCTACTTTGTTGATCTTGTTTTCACCTGCTGAGCTCAGTCGATTCTTGACAGACGTACTCAACACTAAACCTCAGATTTAAGCTGACTTTGTGAGGCTAACTTTTGGGGACTGACAATGAGCTTCAAAGTCCGAACAGGGTATCCTGCAGCAACACTCGTCAACCACTTCCGCTAACTTAAAGAAAAAGTAAACACTTTCATGAAATACGACATTAAAAGGGAGAAAGAAAGGGGAAAGACAGCAGGGGACATATTTAATATCATAAATAACATATATTTAAAGTGTCTTGAAGTCATCCTGTACTAACTAAAACTGATCACAAGACTCTACACGTCAGGATCTGGGTGGCTTACCACCTTGGCTAAAAAAAGATTCCTGAGGGAAAAACCCTACAATGGGTGGAGAGCCGAACCACAACAACAGGACATTGGTTTCAAAGCACGGCAGGGCCATTATTCACCGTCACACTAGTGACAGTCCTACATGTAATGCTGTCATACAGGTCCAGACTGCTGAAAACCAACATGACTCAAGTCAACGAAGGGATAAACGAAGGTGACTAATTCTTCAAGAGCTTCTTTGATCTGCTGGTTTGTGAAACTGCTCTTGAATATTTTCAAGGCATAAAAAGGGTTAAAAAAAATCAGTCAGATCTTTGTGCACTCACCTCAGTTATAAAAAGATATAAAGCTGTTAAAACAAAGTTATTTGTAAGTTTGTGGTTTGAACCAACTGTACTATCAAGTGTCCTTAAGTCACTGCTGGCAGGATTCTGCTTGTGGCCACTTCTCCTCTTGGCTGATACAGTTTATTATTTTTTAAGACTCCTTTGCTACATAAATAACTGCAGGTTTTTCTGCTTGTGTACACACCTTTAATGTGCTGCCTATCCTCAGTTTAACCCTGTTGAATGCGTCATCATTTCTTAAAGTGACCCATTAAAATGATGATTATCAGGCCTCTCAACACACACACACACACTCACACACACACACACACACACACACACACAGAGTTATTTGACATTAACATGAACTCCTTTTGCGGTATTTTGTTTTTATATAATTGTGATGATTGTCTTAAATGGTCCATGTGGACCTTTTGACTCCTCCGAAGGCTGTGTGTGGAGGAGTGTTTTTACATGTTTACAGTCTTGTTAGGTCATGCACAGTTGTTGCACACTCGGACACACACTGATGCAAGACATATTCCAGCAAATAGTTTCACGCTTTCTACTGATCAACAGACGGCAGTAACATGTTAAGAAACACAGTAATGTGGCAACAGAGGCAGTGAAAACGACTGCATCATGGCTATAATTAATGCAGGTTTCAAACTATAAGAAGATGCAAATGTATGATGAGGATGTGTTTTGGTGGCTAACAGTGAAGAAGAAAACTCCACAAGGCACCTTTAAACTGTGCAAAGCCTGCAGTACCAATTCTGAGATGCTGAGTGATATAAAACCTTTTTTTATGCGTTGGAAGGGTTTTGACTCAGGGTCAATAATCATACTGTAATTCATTTTTGAGGACAAGTTTGTCTCTCAAGATAATACAAAAAGTTAAGTACAACTTGTGAATCACAGGGGAACAGTTTCAGAAAACAAAAACAGAGGTTTTTACTGAAACAAAGTTTTTTTGTAAAGGTTAGCGGTGACTTACATGTTTACAAATCCCATCAGACGAGCACTGGCATATGCACGCACCTAAATAATCAAGCTAAAAGTCAGCATTCATTTTTGGTTTCCTCAGACACCTCCTCCACCTCATATTATGGTCTTTGTTGCTCTTTTAACTCTCTCATGTGATCTGAGGGCTGTACTACGAAGCAAGATTAGTGGGTTAAGGAGGTATGTTGAGCCTAAAGTCAGAGTTTTCAGTGTCGCAAAGGTTGATTTGTTTTAACCTGCTACATCACCATGGTAACGGATACTGCACAGCTGAAGAAAGTGGTCCAGAGAAGGTTCTGTTCGCAGTCTGTGTGACAGATACAGATTCTCAGCTGAGGGAGTATGATACATCTGCAAACCTGTAGAGCTGTACGTTACTAATCCCACTAAACGAAGCCATGCAGTTACAGTCACACAAACTGTATGCGTTATGTTGCCATGGGAACTTAAACACTTTCATTTAGTTATGCAGAAAATGCATAAATATGTTTTTATGCTTAGTCCTGACTTGTTTTGCACAGAACACCGTTTAGAACGCAGATTAAAAAAAAATATTAGTCTATTGGTATTTAAGACCGACAATATTTGATCAATAACAATTTTACTTTGACTAGACCAAGTGAATTAAACAGATCCTTCATTATGGGACAGTGTCAGACCTAAACGCACTTCTTCAATGTTTAAAAGAAAAAAAGTGGAACGTTTAAGAACTCTATAGATCAGCTGTTAGAAATAAGCAGCTGAATAAATATATTAATTTCCACCATTAGCTGTTTCCTGTGAGCATCCCTCTCTTGTGTTGTTTACAGTAACAACATTTTTTACTGTAAGGTTATATTTTATTCAAAGCTCTTCATTATACCAACCCGTTCCTCTTGACTGAAGTAGGCAGCACACGATTGGTTCACATTGTGTGTAAGAAAAGACGAATGACGCATCATAGGCCGCGTTATATGTGATCGCACACAGAGTTTGAAGAAGAAAACCTGGTTAACAAATAAAGTTGATAACCACTGTTGTGACATCCAATATCTCCTACTGCATTTTAGGTTGAGCTGAGCCAGCAAATGCAAAGAAAGCCTGGTTTTGCCAAACTTGCTTCATTGTACAGCTCTCAGGTCCGAAGACCTGGGACTGGCTGATGTGTCCAGTCACCAGCTAGATTTCATAAAGCCTAAAACTAGAGCCTAAACAAAGTGCAGAAGTCTAGTTTCCTCGATGCGATGCCTAAATTACAGTTTGCTGAAAGGTGATCCATCCCCAGCTTTTTAATTACTTGTCAATGAACCCCAGAAAAAAAAGTAAAGTTTCATTTATAGTACAAACTAAATAAAATGTGTTATAGTGTATTTGATTCACTGTAGAGACAAGACCTGAACCCTGAAAGTCCTGAATGAACTCGGTTCTTGGTAGATAAACAGTCAGTTCCTGCTTACTCAGAACCAGGGACTACTACACGAGGATATCGTGGCATTCTGCCCTCCACCAGGGCCAAAATAAGTAACTGACTGAATCCACACTCAGATTCAGGCTCCCACATATTTTGTCACTTGTTGACAGAAGGCTGGAAGCAGAAGTAGATGCCTCATAGTGTGCTGACTTTGACCCATCAGCAATATTTTCATTGAAAGGCCTGACTGACCTATGAAGGATGTTTTTACAGTTTCTCTGTTTGTTTTAATTTGTCTTCATGTGCAATAAAAAGGTTGAGATATGATCAGTTTCAAAATAAACCTGTGGCCTCAAACTCTCATTTAAATTTCAGATGTACACAACAGACTGATGATATAGGGGAACCGTTGGAGAAGTGGAACCTGCTCAAATTAACAGTGCATTTATCTACAAAAAAACAGCATCCTAAACTTTTGCAGTCACAAATTTCTGAGAGTTAGAGATCTGTTTGCTTGCATAAAACAACTTTGTTTAGATTTACAAAGATAGCCACTTAAATTTAACAGTTTGAATGTAAACCCACACATAATCTAACAAACAATCTAAATAACAGCCATATCCTAAATGTAAATCTACATGCGGCAGCCTACCGAGGTTCTTGGCACATAATATTTGGCCTGATTCACCACTATGTGTTAAACAATAAAAATGTACATAAACAAAGGCAAACTTAAAAAAAACAGTCACATTAATATATATATATATATATACACAACAAACATTCAACTAACAAGTATTTGTGTGCAACATTTCAACTACATTGTGTGCCATATAACAGAATAAATGAGAGAACTGTTGCGTTAAAGGCTTATCAATTTAAATGTGAATAACTACATTTTTAAAGAATCTATTTTATTTTTTTAAATTTACAACCTAAAGTTTTCATGGTTCTCACTGAAAAGAACAATAAAGAACAAAATGAAACTAATGATTATATCAGTGAGCTACATGTTGTGAAGGTAGATTAAAGTTTAGTGATTAGGATACACATTTGGTAAAGTTTTACAAGGATAAAACATTTTAAAAAATTGCTTAATGTCACTTTAAATTGTCTAGACGTGTAACTTGACATGCTTTAGACTGCTTGTTTTAGTAGTTTTCTTTTTGTTTGTTTGTTAATTGTGGCTAATTGAGTTATTAATTTGAGCATGTTTCACCACCAGATTGATCAAACTGTCAATAACCAAATGTCACTCTCTACCTCAGAGTGAGTTGGCCTTCAGGGCAGGAAAACCCAGAAATGACGCCCTCATCTGTTTAAAGAGAGAACAGCCAGGCCTCTGTGGGTTTGGCCTCCCAGCTGTTTTGTCCCAGCGGGCCTCAAATACAGCTCTGGTCTCCAAGTTTGACTGCTTGAAGAATATGGCTTCAATAATGCTGAGGCCACAGATCGGTATCATCTGTTTACTCCTGTGTCTCGTTGCCACTCTGCTGCTTGTATAACTTTATATTTTCTGTTTATGGTGTCCTGTTGCCCCGAGAGCTGTATTTTAACTTAACTGCCAGAAAAAATAGGAATGACTTCAGTCTAAAGCCTCGTCAGAACCTGTACTGTGAGCCCAATCCTTAAGGTGCATGTGAGAGAGAGAGAGAGAGAGAGAGTGGCTTTGTGTTATTCTTAAGAACGTTTTACAGCCTTTATCAAAGGCTCTCTTACATTTTTGGTCAGTATGGGAAGGGTGGGCGAGCGTGTCAAGAACCAGAGCCATGAATCATGACATATTCTGCTATATGGAGGCTGAACAAGCTGGATAAATGTATGTATATGCATGGGTGTGCTCTGGATGCCCTGAGGGTCTGCACACACACTTCAAGGTCAAAGGCACAGACATGGTTTATGAAGAGAGAAGTGTGTGTGTGGGAGCTGGGGGTCGATATCCACAGCAGACGTCCCTCCCAAGGACAGAGGGACCCAGTGTGAGCCGGAGCAAGGCGCGCTACTGTGGGATAAGTACAGGTTGGATATAGCAAGGGGTAGTTAAGTGGAAAAGACTAACAGATGCTGGGGCTAGTTTACTCAGGGGGGAGGGAGGCCTGACACCCCAACACACACACACACACACACACACACACACAGTGGGGCCGAGTTCTCACTGCGGCTTAGAAAAACAATTTTACTGCTCAGCTGCAGAACAGTTTGTATCTCTTTCAGCTATTTTAACAACAGAAGCAGTTTGAATACAAACTTGATTCTTCAGTAAAGACAGACGTATCACGAAATTCAACTTTGGAAAATTGAAGGTTTGATTCATTAAAATCATTTTAAAAAACATACTCTGTGTAGCAGCATCCAGCCATGCAGACATTTTAGTTTTTCTTTGGCCTTGGTTTTCAAATAGAGATTTCTGTCCAATACTCAGTAGCTCTCACTTCTCAGCAGAAGTTTGTTTGTGCTGCTCACAGCTTTGATAAATGACATTTAAACACGGTTAACAGCCTGTAGCCATGCTAGCTGCACACTGCGGTCGTGCTAGCATGCACATGCTAAACAGGTGAATGTTCTACAATTTTAGTTAACCAGCAAATGAAAAAAGAAAAACATTTTCTAACACTTACAATTGTTGCTTGCAAGCTAACATTTTCTAATGCTAACAAATGTTGCTATTATTAAAATGCTGTATAAATGCTATTATTTGCTAAAACACAAAAAAGTTGCCCACATGCTAATACTTGCAAACTGACACTAACAATTGCTAGCATGCTAACATTTGCTAACAAATGTTGCTAACATTTGTTAACTAAAATGGAGGACACGGCAGATTCAAATTTCCTAATTTGCACGCAACAAAGTACAGTGGAAGCTCATGAGAAAGGTGTTTAGGAATAAAGTGAAAGTTGTTTGTGGATCACCAAAGTCATCACAATTCTTCCTGATGCAAACATGTTAACAATTTTCTCTTCCACCACTGGTTGACCTTGCGCTCTGAGCAGAGCTATAGCTATCACTGACAATACTAATGTGTAATATCGGTGATATTTCTGGGAAGCTGTGGTGGATTTCATGAAATAAGAAGCATTTACATTCTATATTGGCAACACATGTTTGACTTTTAAACATGGATTCTAGTGTTTTAGTCTCCATACTATGGTTTTATAGATGGTTGATTAACTGTGTTGCAGAAGGAAAATTAATTGCGGGGGTAATGGGGTAAATATGCCCCATAGCTTTCCCAGCAGTGCAGCTTCAACTCCATTCTTTACAACACTCCCAGCTCTGTCTGCAGCACATGTAGCAGAGTATGTATCACAGCTGAGCAGACAGTCGTGCGGAGTCAAGTGGTGTCTTCATCTTAAGCAGATAACAATTTCATAAAAATACATTAATGGAAAATTAAAACACAATGACCATATCATTTTCCATACCTCTAGTATATGTAGAGAATGTTAACACATAATCCACTTTGACATTTTTTTACTCCCTAAAAATCTATATTGGCCCCAGATCTCTAGTATTGTTCAGGCTCTAGTCCAGATATCTAAAAACCTGGACAATGTAGCATGAAATCAGCAGGGCCAAATCGCAAAAATGTGTTTTTGCGATTTAAGTCCATTAATCTACTCTGCAGATTCACTTAGACCAGCAGTTGCATAAAGTGTTGACCAGAATAATGTTTGAGGTATCCAGTTACACAATTTTACTGCCAGCCGATTCAAAACGAATATTTCCTGTGGCCACGGTATAACTGCAGTGACTGCATGAAAACCACTGACTGGCTTAATACATCTAAAACTGGATGTTGTTGTGACAACCTTGTATTTGTCGGGACTGAACTGCTTCCTATTCAACTAAAACTTTATTGTCAACCAGATTTTCAAAACACACACCCAAAATATAAAACAAAATAAAAAAAATTCCACATCTCACTTTTAGCAGGGTCACAGAGCGAACATCTGCTGCAGACGTTTTTTTTATAGACAATCACAATAAAAATTTACAATAAAAGCTGAGGAATAATGTCTGTACTATCACGCATGACCTCACCAGCTGCACACACACACAAACACGCACATACACGAACACACACACCCAGTCGCTCTCTGTCTCCCTCTCACACACAAACCACTGGCATACCAGAGAGCCTATATTTAAAATGAGCCCTGGGGATGTTTTTTATTTTCAGCATTTAGACATTCTATCAAAAGTGGTCAATGTGGACACTTGGGTGTAGAGAGAGAGACTGAGTGAATCAGTGGGGCTGATGGTAAACATAGGTATGACAAAATATAATCACAGCACAGGATCAGCAATGAGTCAACAGCTTTTTACAATAAGATAATGAATGCACATTCAGAAAACGAGCACGAGAGTGTGATTATGGAATGTTTGAGCCAGACCCAAATAGTTACAAATTTGCTAAGGCTGCAAAATACCACCTTCCAAACTTGCAGCCATTCCAAATACAGCCCTATCATCCATCCCACGTCTCATTTTCAAAGCCTCTCTTTTCTCCCTCTCTCCTCCCACCACAAATCCCAGAACCTCGAGCAGCAGAGAGAGAGAGAGAGAGACAGAGGAGATGAGGGGAGCATTTAAATCTAGCGTTCCGTGAGTGGTCGGGTTGGTGTCTGGAAATCTTTCACATCCTGTTTACGCCGGGCAGATTTCAGCCGGGGACCGCAGAGAGCTGGCACAGCCTCTGCCTGGACACAGCTCCTCTCTCTCTTTTCTATCTGTTCCCTGCTTCCTCTGCCTAAAGATCTCAGTCTGCAGCCTTTTCCACACCGCCTCCTTCCTATCAACACCTTCAAACCTAAAGCAAACAGTCTGGCGCACTCCGCTGCCCACGGCCGCAGGAATACGACAGAGGCAGCATCAAAATCCTGATAAAAAGAATCCTTTTTCTGTAGCAGGCGCGCCAAACGTGGCCAAATTACACAAGACCGCCTTTTAATTTCAATATCCAAGTACAGGTTTAATAGAGCTATGTCGTCTTATTTACAGTGTCCTATATCAAACGGAAAGTTCCAGAGAGTGAAGAAGGTGTCATGCCTGCGAAAACTGGGAGCAAAATCCTGATATTTGAGTCAGGTAGCGTAAAAAAATAACATCTCAAAAGTCTGCCAAAGGTGATCAACGAGCGAAGCTTAATGAACAGAGGATCCGTCGGTCCTCCTCAATTTATTCCCCCCTGAGAGAAGCAGTTTGTAGCTTTGGTCCTGTCATCATTCTCTTCCTCTCTGCCTCCCTCACTGCTCCGTCTGAACTTGCCTCCCTCAGCGGCACTTGCAGGATTTGACGACCATGTTGGAGAGCTGCTCAACACGTGGTGTGCGGCCTATGAAGTACATGATGGTGAGGGGCTCCAGGTCCTGAGGAACGCAGCAGGGCGAGGCGGAGGCTTCAGGGTTCAGCTTGTTGTACAGCGGCAGGATCTGACCAGGGAACAGAAATGACAAGGAGTTAAAGTCATGAAAATATAGATTCTTAATGTTATAGTTTCTTATAGTTTAATAATGAATAATAAGGTCATGCATGAACACAGTTTTTTTCTAAGTAGTCTTCAGGTATTTTATCGGCAGCTGTCACATAATAGTTGAACATTTTCTGAAACAGGGCACGAGATAAGATAAGATGATTGATACCTTTTTTGCATCCGTATAGTAAATGTGAGGCTATAGCCAGTGGTGGAAAGTAACTAAGTACATTTAATCGAATAGAGTGATTAAGTCCTGCTGTTTTCTCCTTCTGCATTTCAGAGGGACGTACTGTAGTTTCCACTTCACTACATTTATCTGACAGCTTTAGCTACTTTTCAGATGAAGATTTTACACAGTGGATAATAACTGTCAACAGGTTTTTAAATACAACACGCTGTTAATATGAAACTAGTGGTTTCCAACCCTTGTGGCTTCTGCCGTCTTACATAAAGCACTGTGAAGTCTGGGTCGTACTTCAGCTGCATATATTATCAGCTCCACGTAATATTGATTTTTTTTCCCCTCAACTCAAATGGTTTAATTTCAATAAATGTTCCAATATCTTACCATCAAAAGTCCAAAAATTAAAAACAGATTTGCATGTTAGAACTTTGTTTTTCTTCTTTCCTCTCATATTCATCATTTGACAACCCCTCAGATTCATCTTCAGTGAAAAAACATTCTGTATAAAGTACTTCAGACGAGCTACAGCAGTGACATCCTTCTGACACACTGATGTTTCAACAATATTTTAGTAGGATTTTACATCCAGGACTTTTGTCTGTAATAGAGTATTTTTACATCCCTGTACTGGTTGTTTTACTTAAGTAAAAGATCTGAATACATCTTCCACCACTTGCAGCCACTAATTGTTGCATAACATAAAGACTGGCTCTGTCCGTAACAATATTGGCCAAAGCTCAGTAATTAAAATTTGTATCTTACTTGATTCATAAAAGTAAAAAAGTTTTTACTGTGATTACTTGTTGGACACGTAACTTTTCAAAGTCTTCATTGGCTCCCTGATTTCTTCACCTTGATGAAGATTTCAGGCTCATCTGTGTCTAGTGTCTGTGCTACGCTAAGCCTCATGAGATGAGAAATATGAAAGTAGTATTGATCTTCTTATCCAACTCTGTCTAACTGAATTTGTTTAATAGACTGTATTAAACAAATAAATGTTTCATACATTTAGAATGTGTTTGTTTAATAAAATATGATCAGATTACATCCACATGTTCCAAATGAGAGAGAGTTGAACTCTTCATGAATAATACATAGGAAGGTTTTGTATAAACTCTGAATTCTGACTGGTGCATATTTAGATGTATATATTTCGTTTTCTGGGGCTTTTAGATGAAGGTTATATGAGTTGGCATCATATCCTATAACCTCTGTCTGTCAATATGTCTACTTATTTCTCTTTCAAGTACAGCAAAAGCTGCCAAACTCTGAAATTGAAGCCATATTTTGACAGCAGAACAAAATTACAGCAAACTTTAATGTCAAATATAAGTGGATATCCTCCATGTCTATATTAGAGCAAACAGACAAAGTGAAAAAGTAAAGTGAAGCTGTAGGTCCAGCTGTAAGCTGAACGAGATAAACACGCTGTGTTGCATAAACCTATATGTTCTGTAACAGGCTTCTGTGAGGTGGCAGCCCATTTATGGCACTGGGGTTAACCAATCTTAGCTAACCGCGGTGTTTAGTTGCCACAAACAATGCACTTTAAGCTCATTTAAGGGAAGCGCCACCCGCATTTCAAACTTTCTGTGCATTAAAAATCAGGCTGAAAGTTGATTGGAGTTTGGTCCAAACCAGAGTGTTTTACCAGAAAGTCTGAGCGGCTACTTGGATTTTTCTGACAATCACAGATGTTTTCTGTTTATGTAATCTGGCTGTGTCTGCACTGAGAAGTCTGTCACTGTTTCCATTGGACTTATTCAGCACAAAAGGTCATGAATCTTCAGATTGGAGCAAAAATATAATTTGGAAAAAAGAACACATTTGTCTTTGCTTGACCTCACCAGAGAGGGTAGTATAATTTATTAGTCTGGGTTGTGGTCTGATGGGCTTTGAAAAGATGTAGGAAGTCACAAAATGAGCTGCTAATATCAGGGAATTCGTATCTGGACTGAGTCACATGTTGGCCTGCGGTATTGCCTGAAATTTTTTGATATTAGTGTCAGCACACTGGTAAAACAATACTTTATTCTTTTAACAACCTGTCTTTAACATACAGTTCTCCAAAATCTTCCTCACTGTGGGCTCAATTTCACTGCAATATTATGACCTGCACCTCTATGGAAACAGCTCAACCATGGATAGAAACAGAGAAAACTCAGAAATGTCTTTTGTAAAATCATAAATCACAAAAAATTTGATTATTTTACAAAAATTTTAAAATCCTGGTATCCCTATTGTCAACATTTTTCAAGTGCTGACAGGTGCCGAAAAAAAGTGAAGCTACATGCTAGAGATATTTTACTATTTATATTTTTATGTAGTTTCCAAACTTGTCTTGACATCTGCTGCACAGCCTGCAGTTCAGCTGAAAAGTCCCAGAAGTTTGCCACGAGTGATGGTTCTTTTTTGTTTTTATGGCTCCTATAAATCATGTAATTTTGGAAGTTTTTATAGATAACATGTCTTTCAAACCCACTGGCAGGTTTTGGGGTTCAAAGGGTTAATATTCAGTAGCCATATGTCATCTTACAAAGGCAGGTGAACCCTGAAACTTACCATGTTGTAGTGGTTGTTGGCACTCCAGAGATATGGACAGTTGCCGGCACAGAAGTTGGCTTTGTAACCTTTTGGCTCATGGATCCACTTCCAGTTGAGGTCACGCCTGAAGTCGATGTAGAGCGAGCGCAGGCAACAACCCTGGTCTGAGCCACTGAGAAACACAAAGACAGACATATGCATTTCAACTCCCATCCTGCTCTTCAAGGTCTGTGGCAAGGACCCAAAGATGGGTCATGGGAAAATGACCACAGGTCACCGTTGAAGAACTAGCCATCACAAGGTAATGACTATGCAAGGCTGCCAGAGTTTTCCCCTGCAGCGTGAGGTAGTCTAAATAAAACACTGCATGCCTGTTGGCCTGTAGTCTAAACACAGGGTCAGAACTGTTAGTTTTGCCACACAATAGTCTGCAAAGAGGGTCAGAGGAAAAAAAAACGTGAAATTCAGCACCCACCGCAACTAGATTTTTGAATTATAAAACTACAATTCCTGCAGGAGCATCATTGCTGTCACTCAGTCACACAAAACCACACACAAGTGGCTGGTTGGTGGCCTACCGAGCACAGGTTGTGGTGTCTGTGGCCGCCGCCCTCTTCTTGCGGTTCTTCTTGGCCGGGTTGTCCACTCTGTCACTGGGCAGCAGCGTGAGTATGAGGTGTGGCGTCTTGGTGCTGAAGTCCGCCTGGCCTTTAACCTGACCGGGTTTTCTCATCTGTCGCAGCCGCTCATCATCCAAACCTACAAAAAGCAGTGTGACATTAGTACAGCGGTTCCCAGCCGGGGGCTCACTACACATAAGGGTCACAGGATGAACCTAAAGAGGTCACACACTGAGTACTACAAAAGAAAATATGAACAAAACTTACTCTGCTGCACAAATTCTGTTAATTTCTCTTGTATTTTTCTCTCTTGTTATTGCGCGATATGGGATACTTGTCCCTCCTTATCCTCAGAAAAACTACTCAAATGAAACAACAACCTGCAAAGTGAAGTGCTCACAACTATATACTTGCAACCTGTGACCAGCATTTGTGAGGAGACATAACTTAATTTTAAAGGGCCACCAACAGTGGTTCATACTGAATATGAACTACCACATTTTTCTGCGGTCATTCACATTCAGTATTAACCACAAATTCTGTTCATAATTGCTGCTGTTCCAGCTTTGAATTTCAATCTGCATGACTGTGTTTTTCTGAGAAGGCAGAAGGCAGTTGGTTCTACACATTTCCAGCACTGCTGAACAAATACAGCAGTATGAGGACAGAAATAATATGCGATACAGATGTTTCCTCAACCAGGAATGATGGTCTGACTGTTTGTCTGACTTCATGGTTTTTCTGGCTCTTTCTGGCCTACAGGAGCACAAGAGCTCAAAACAAGCCCCCGCTTGTCTTACATCAGTATCACAAGTTGAATTTGTTTCCACGTGTGAAAAAACTTCAACTTGGCTCAGCTGCGAGTAAATCCTGAGGAAAGTGCCATAATTTGGGGGCCTAAGTGAAGCAACACAGACAGTCTGGTATTCAATAGTATCACAGTGTGTGGAAGAACAGGTTCTCCATTATTCGACTCTACGATAGTGTGCAAGTAATTCATGAATCATTTTGAAGGCGCCTTACACAACACTTTCTATTTATGTTCACGTTTTGTGACCTGCAGGTTCGTTGCAGTGGCAATAAATCTTCCTCTCTGTTAAGTTTGCCTTTTTCACCTCTGTGGCCACTGGAATAAAACTGGAGTTTGGCTTCAGTGTTTTAGTGCATCAAATCTCTGGCACACTGACTGTCCTGATTATTTATTAATGTGCTGCGGTTAGCTCAACAGCTTATTTTCACGTGCAGCTCCAATGTGACTAATATTGCATGCTGAACAGCCCTCTACAAACAACCACCATCTGCATACTAGAGTTGATCAAAAAGTTAAGACTGTGACTAGATAAAAAAAAAAAAAACATACATAAAGGTGGCTGCCATCCATGTTGCTACAACGCTTCTGTTACACTTGTAACGTTCACTGGCAGTCCTGTCATGTAAATACTTCAAGTACCATCTATGACATGTCCTGAATCTTCAACTTGAATTTCATTTTGGGAAAGTCACAGGGAGCCAAATGTGTGAAAACTGTTTTTTCTTCTCCTGATGGTAGCCAGAAACCCTCCTCTTTTCACCAGTTATGATCTTTGACTTGAAGGTTGGATCAACTCGGCTGCTGACTGACACAAAATGTGACATTTTCTTATCTGCTCAAGTTTTCTGTGCTTGAAGAAATCACAAACCTACCAATGGTCGCACAAATGTGTGTAGCAAAGGTCCTGCTGTTGATGAGGCGGTCTTACTTGTCACCCTGACTCATGGTAGTTACTGTTTCCACATGTTGCACGCTCATGACCACGTTGTGCTCTGTGCACATGCACTAGAAAACATCTTGGAGTTTTTTGATCAACCTTCGTAAAGTGGCTACAGCTCTGAAGACACACATTATTCATTATAATCAGGCTGAATCTTAATCTAGGTCTTTACTGGCATGTCGATCACATCAAGCAGTCTCTCTGGAACAGGAGGCATTTAGTAGCATCCACCCTGCACACAAATGTCTGACTGGGCTATCACAAAGTGCAGTGAAAACAAAAGAGAGCAGCAACAAACCAGCAAACAAGGCCTCCAGCTCCTCACTCTTGTTGGGAACGATATTGTTGGTGGATGGGACAAAGGTGCAGCAGGGACAGTGGACACCCAGTTTTAGGCCAAGATTATTCTCTGCAGTAGGAAGAAGTAAAAAAAAGGGAAACATGAGGGAATAAACTACATAAACACTGGTGCATGCCATATATGAGAAATGGCTTGCTGGTGATGAGGCTGACCTGGATCTGATACCCAGTCCTTAATGGTTTCGGTGACCTCCACTGAGATCCAGGCTCCCTTGGCCCTTGGCTGAAGGGTGCGGGATTCAATGTAACGTTGAGTGGAGGTGCTTTCTTCATCTGGCTTTAGCAACTGACACAACAAACACAGGAGGACAGGACAGTGATGGAGTGGAGGAGGTTCAACTTCTCAGTTCCTACTTCAGAGCACACTTTTTTAAAAGTGAAATAATAAATGACATCTTAATCTGTCATCAGGCATATAAATTATGACGACCCCCTTTCCTACAACTAGTGTATACTGTAAGGTGTGAAGAATCTCCCTCGAGCCAAAACTGAAACTGTTCAATTTGTGAAGATTTAGTGTCATAATAATTGCTGGCCTGAAGCCCAAATTCTGGAAAATTCTTGATTTTTTTTATAAGAAGAGGAGACAAATGTGGTCTGACGGGATTTCAAAAAGTTTGGATTTAGTGTCACCTCCTGAAAAGTTTGGTTTATTTGGATGTAAAAGCTTAAAAAGACAGAACTCAAACTGTCTTGCTGACAATGATGGTTAGTTTGGTGGTTATGCTGCGTCAAAGTGATAAACAGTGATAAACAGATAGCTCTTGCTCTGTGTCAGCCTGGTGGTTACCTGATAGATCTCCACTCTCTGCTCCGAGGCCCGGGCCTGCGGGTTGGGAGCTCTGAAGATCCTGAACTCAGCCTTGACCAGGGTGCTGTTGGTCAGGTCGACACCGCTGACATCGAAGTGGACGACTCTGTAATGGGGGTTGGGCGCTACCGGCTGCACCACATCTGGATGGAAAAAAACACAGCGTGACGAATGCTCCAAAGATTTCTCATGACTGTAGACAGTGTTGTATTTATACTGTTTGTTAAAACAGCGCTGTGGGACTGATGCATTGTCTCGGACATAATTACTGCTGATGAGCGTCTTGGAACTAAATTATAGGTTTGGGCACAGAGACTAAATGTGTCAGGTCCTATGTTTAATATATGGGTGATTGTTGTGTCCATGGGTTTCACTGTATGAAACATCACCTACCACCTAGACAGTTATGTAATTACGTGCCATGTAGCATCCAGCATCATTAATCTTAAAATCTCCCAAATAAGGATAATCAACAAGTTTTGTTTTTTAATGCGACAGCTGCCTGCTGACAACTACAGCTGGCAGTCCAACTTTATTAAGCTGTAGTGCAGGACTCAGAGAACCAAGAGCCTTGCTCAAAGGTACATCTGCAGTCGTTTTTGTTTTTGTTTTTTTACAGTTCTACGATGGGCGGCAGCTCACCGCAGTGTCTCTTATTTAAACAGGAAATCACACAGGCAAACTTTGTATTTTATGACCATTTAGCCAAATTTTGTAATTATGGAAAATTCCAAGATAGTTTGACTTCAGTCAAGAGTTTTATTAAATTTCACCTCAGAGTTCACTTCACAGAAAAATATTGTACTTTTCTACTCAATTTACTGCAACTGCTGGCTTGGACTGGTAGCAGCCATAAGAAATACATAAATATCTAATATCTGGTCTACAACAGACTGTGATGTAGCTATAATTAAAAGTCTAAATTCATGTGTTTGGCAGCAACTTTAACTTCTCCTATGCACATCCATAACTGGAGGCTGGTGTATAAACAGATACAAAATAGTAATACACAGTTCTAAATATGTAAAATTCTAACTTTTGCTACAAGTTACATTGACAAATAGGTTATCGTAAATGAATAAACACTTAGAGTGCCAATCTATCTCCTTCATGTTAGATTCTTTAAAGTATTTATATAGAACTAACAAATGCTACAAATATAAGCACACCAGTACATTTCAACTGACTGGACTGCCCAAGCAGACACAGAGTAGTCACACATGGACCAGATACAACAATGAAGGGATGATTGTGTGTCAACCAGCAGCAGTTTATTCAGAAACCACTTCACTGGTTCAATGGCTCCACTGTGTTGCTGCTGATATTATTGTAGGGCAGGACCTTGCAAAAGAGTTTTTACATGTTGATACTTTTATTAAAGTGGGATTTAAAGACTTCTAGCACAGTGATGGAAGAAAATGATCTTCAGCCACTTTTTTCTAATAACAGAAGGAAAAGTTCATAGTGCAAAAGTTGACAGCTGCTGCCATTTTTAAATTAAGTTGCTCACATTTCGTTTTGTTATCATGAGGGCCAAATGAGCCGTTACAAAACGTGATCTGGATCAAGTGTAGCCCACAAGAACTCCCCTCTGAAGTGACCCCTGAGGACCGCGGTCCGCACATAGGAAACCCCTGTCACACAGCACACAACTCACTGGTGTCGGTGCGGGGGGGCTTCATGTCGATCCTTTGCACCTCTTTGGCGTAATAATCCTCCTCACTGCTTTCGCGCTCGCACGCCGATTCGCCCAGACGCGCACGCTCCTTGAGCAGCTCCCGCGTGCTGTTGTAGAGCAGCATGACCTCCGGCGGCACCGAACCGGGCACCGGGGCCTCGTCGTCGTCATCGTCGTCCGGCGGGCTGCGGATGCGCAGCTTGCTGAGGATCTGTCCGCGCACCGCCTCGATGCGCCGAGACTTCTGCGCGTCCAGGTTGATGGACTGGCACGTGTTGATCCCCTCCACCGGCAACACACCGGAGAACCGGAGCAGCAGCAGCAGCGAGAGGCGGGGGAGCCACATTGTCCGGGGAGGAGTGGGAGGGACGGAGATATTCCCCTTGAAGTGACCGATGGACTGTAACTAAAGCTGCGTCTCCAAAACCAAGCGCGAAAAAAATGTGTGCGTAAAAGGATTTAAAATGTAAAACTGAGCGTTAAACCAGAGCCTCGGAAAGTTAAATGGATATTTTCAAACCCCACTATCCAGTTCTAGTAAGTTATTTTGGTCAAAACCGCACTTCTTCTGCTATAAATTTATAACATTGTCATACATGCACCCGCCGAGTTTAACACCAGACACGAAACGACGCATTGTCACTTAGTCTTTACAGAATCTACATTTAAACTGCTAAATCTAAAAAATTACAAATGCAATGAAAAAAAAATCACTACTAGAAAAACCACACAACCACCAAACAGCACTGTCAAACCCTGAACTTTTGGAGACTGGAAATTTTGCTTCAGTTCCAGTCTGGTGCGCTGAAAGCTGTGGTGTGCCGTGCCGGTGCGTGCGCGCTCTCCGCGTGTAAAAGGTGAGAAAGATATTTAACGAAAACTTAAAATGTTATCCGTCTCCGTTTTCCGTCGTCCATCCTCAGATAACTGATCAGCTTTCAGGAGAAAAGAACCATCACAGGAGCTCAGCCCATGTCGCAAGTCCTCCAGAAACCAGAAACCTGAGCGGCTCATGTGAAGCAGCGCAGCTCCCGTACTTTCACCTCCGAAAGAGCCATCTGTGGAGCAAAAAACGGGCCCATATCCGCTTTCAGAAAATCTACTTACAGCTTAAAAAAAACCCAATGAGGTCCTCCCATTCCCCCGTATAGGTAAACAGAAAGCAGCCTGCACTAAAACGTAGGAAAAAAATGATGATTTATGTTGGAAAAACCATGGTGGGCCTGTTAATGCCCCTCATATAAACATCAAAACACGGAAAAAGTCAGACGACATAAAAAGACATGACGCAGAAAACATATGAAAGAAGTCCTTGTGCAGTGAATTTCAAAAAACAGGAACCTTTACAGTGAATTACAGATCCCTGGTTTAAAAGAGCTGCAGCCTGATGTGCGCTGGGCTGAAAGCTCTGCTGAAAACACCGAGACCTGCTGCATGATGTGACTCCATTATTGTGCGGCTCCTCTGTGAGACGCACAGAGCTCCAGACAGAGAGAGTCTGCAGGAGGGAGGGAGGGAGGAGGTGGAGAGGTGGTGGTGGTGGTGGGGCGGGATGCCACCAGAGTGCAGGGAGTGGGTGATCTTCCTCTCACCAGAGGCTCACACACATAGCTGCGCATTTTGCAATTATTTCCCCCACAAAAATGCTCGCACCGCCCTCCATCCGCAGGTAAACATCTCCCGATGGGCTTATAGCAGCCAGCGGCAGGTTAGCTTAGCTTAGCCTAGCACAAACACTGAAAACAGTTGGTGACAGCTAGCCTGCTGCCTACCACTCCTGTAGAACTTTAAAAAAAAAACACTTTATATCTTGTTTAACATGTGCCAAGTGTAAACAAAATATTTTGCTTTTTAAAAGGAGTCATCACTGTCAAGAGACAGTAAGATGAGTTTCTGAAGTCCTGAAGTGCCATAAACAGTGATCTTTACTGTTAGCTAGCTACTTGTTGATTCCTAGAAGATGAATTTTTGTGTTCCTTTAAAAAAAAATTGTTAAAGGCGAGGAGAGAAATTTAAGTATAAATGTCAGAAATTAGGACCTTCCTGTGCCTCAAAATTGCGCTGTAATAAGACTATTTGACTATTTACCTTGGTCACAGAAGTTAGTGTAGCAGCCGACATTTTCTTGGCTGGGCCCGTTGCCTGGCAACCAGTTGAGAGCCAAGAAATAGTCCAACACAGAACTCCTCATAAAAGTGTGAACTGCACTTTATAATCTGTGTGTGTGAGTGTGTGGTTAAATGAAATGATATATGGCGTGTTAATTAGTGAGCTTTAGAGTTTCTGGTGCACTCTTTAAAAAAAAAAAAAACTGTTAAAAAACATGCAGATAATATTCAAGCAGTTAAGATGCCAACAAATACCAGAAAATGACCAGCTCATAAAAACACAGCAATGTCACATAAATAAAATGCACTTTCTACCTTTAATTTTACATGCGATTATGTGTACTTTGGGCTTTTTAAAAAAACATCTTTACATGTATAAAAATGGAGTTACCATATGATATATATGTGTGTGTGTGTGTGTGTATATATATATATAGAGAGAGAGAGAGAGAGGGAGGGAGAGACATGAATAATGAATGACAACAAAAATTGTATTTACTTTTCTTAAAAACAGCGATATTTTTCTTTTTGTCACCTGTCACTACTTTTATCTAATTTCAGAAGTATATTTACAATATTAAATTGAACTTGAGTTTCTTTAACTAAATTAAAAAATTAAATGTGTGAAATGACAATACAATACATTTCTTAATGTTTTATGTCCTTTCATGTTAAAATTAATAATTTCTTATGAAAAAGGAAATTTAATTCTTCAAAAAATTAGTTTTATATGTTGATTTACATTTGACATGTAAACTTGTGATTTTATTGATATTTTTGTGTATGTCCAAAATATGAGAAAAAACATGTAGAATTGCAGCTTTTTGTTGTTTATTGTTGGTAGAATTTTTTTTTTTTAACCTTTGGACAGAGCCAGTGTATTGTTTTCAGTCTTATTGCTAAGCTAACTGAAGCTAACAGTTTGTTGTCTTTAGTAAGGTTCATTTTTGTTGCACAGATGACAGTGATATTTTCCAAAATGGGTTTTTAAAAAAAGAAAAGAAAAAAGAAAAAAAACACCCTCTATTTTCAATATTTATGTAACATTAAAATGATCACATGGAAACTGTGGAAATAAGAAATCCATTCCAGAGATTTCAAAATGCAGCTCTAGCATGGCTCTAGCTCTGACTCGTCCATGCTGACAATTAAAGGCTTTTCCTAATTTTATTAAATCACTCTAAAGACAGCCCATCCCTTCACTTTATCTTTATCTTTCCAAGCTTTCAATCTAGCTCCTTTCTTTTCTCTCTGTTCCTCTCCGGTCTCATTGTTAATTACAGCTCAGAACTTGGAGAGGACTGTTAATCTGTCAGGGGCGGCTTTTATTGCTGCTCTGCTGCCATCCCATTATACCGTTATTATAGTTGCGGGTGCAGGCCTGTAATTGCTGTAAGTAGAAGGGAAAGGTAGGAGAGACTCAGGCTGCCTCTAGGCTTCTGGTCAGGGCAAACCCCCCTTCATCGTCTGTCCTGGCAAGGTTTCTAAAAATGATAACACCGCCTGCGAACAAACAGGCTCCTGTTCCAACTTGACTGCTGCTGCTTCGTCTCAGACACCCAAAAATGATTGGAAAGACGCTTAATTTGTCAACATGGACCTCAGCACTTTTTGTGAGCAATCTAAACAGCTCAGACACACCGTGGGGCATCACAGATCACAGGAGCCCGCCCAGGTGGGGTGTCGTGTGTGTGTGTGTGTGTGTGAGAGAGCAGTAATGTGTGGCTTTAAGAGGAAAAAAAAGAAAAGGACTTCCTCAAAAACAACTTCTAGCCTTGCTGCTTTTTCTGCCTCTTTTTCCTCAAAGCCAAATATAGGCAAGCCACTGCCACGTCATCTGGCCCTCAGCACTTTCTTAAACCCTGAGAGAGGGCGAGATGGGGTTCAGAGCCTGCCTCTCAGGGGTTATACTTTACCAAATCTGTAATATAAGTGAATCCATATTTTCCACAAAAACCTAACGGTTTTGGCTGTCATGAAAATCTGGACAGTTTTATTGAAAAAGAAAAAGAAAATAGCCAAACAGTTACAAAAATAAATACAGATTAAACCACCGGGGGTTACTCTCGGGGAACATTTCCATCTGCTATTCGTCAAATCTTTTCCCTCGGCTGGCAGCAATCACCCATTTAAAATGTCATAACTACAATCAACCAAACAGTGTGGCCCGTTTTCTCATGGCACTAACTCAAACCAGAGTCCGACCTCCTTCTTCTCTCTGAACACACACAGTCCCATCAGAGTGACAGTTTGGGGGGGAGGAAGGTTGCGAATGAAAACCACAGAGAGGCTGTCTACACCTCGTCTTCGTTCAGCAACATGTTGGGGATTCCTTTGGAGATGGGAAACTCTCGTCCTGATTCAGGGCACTGTAGGCAGCCCTCCATCACCTCCACCTGCAACACAAACACAGACGCAAGGTGTTAGACCCGCCACTAGATGTCCCCATGGAGCACAACGCAGCATATGGAAACGCTTTCACTTTACTTTCAGTTTGAGGCTGGTTTGTATAGTTTGCTTTCTGTCTCTTAGTTTCAGTTAAGTGAAACTATAATGCCACATGTAAAAGTGAGCACAGTGATATCTCACACTGCCTCTCACACTCTGGAAACACATCCCACTGCTGAAACAAAGCAAACACTGCATAAAGTAAAGCTCAGACTACAAGGATTTTCTTGGCCCAGACAAACTTTTAAGCTGAGATTGGAAAAAAAAACAAAAAACCATATTGCAGCCACATCGCTGCTCAAGTCAGAGCAGCCTGAGACACGTCATCACCCTCTGGCATGCCAGAAAGTATTGCTACAAAATTTGGGGTTCTCTTCTTGTGTGACAAACTGGGAGACAGAGGAGTAAAATGTATTACACGGGCTTGGTAAGCACAACTCAGTGGTGGATCAGAGAAGGTGTGTCAGTGATTTGAATTAAAGTTGCTTAGTTGTGCATACGCCAAAAAAAAAAAAAAAGATTTCCAAGCTTCTTTCCATGAGATACTCGAATGTTCCACAAGCTTTTACAGTTTAGGGCCCACAGAGATTCAGCATCCTTCTCGGCCCACCGAGTGAACAAAGATTCCCGCCAGCTGAACCGGCTGACATTCTCTTGGCTCCCCGCCCACATGAAATAAAATAATCCCACTACTTTTCTAGACTTTCCAAATGGTATTGTACTGAATACATTAAAAGGAAAAAGTTGTTTTGCTGGGTTGTGATGCTTGGAAAAATAGATTCACCCTTTTGCAGCCATTCTTTTTTTTTTTTTGTTGCACAAGTTGCAGTAACAGCTGCGCATCTTAGTACAGTTCATAGGAGCTTGGATATAAACAACATTATTTGACTTAATTTGCTTAGTTTCCCTGAGGGACTTAAGACACTTCACATGAATTTTGACAACAACAAACAAAATGAACATACCACAAGACAATCACACATTAAAATCAGCTCTGAAAAGTTGGGTTTTGAGCAGTGATTTCAACACAGATCGGTCGATGCATCAATCTCTGATGTGTTTGGGGAGAGTTCCAGACGGAGGAGGCAGCGGTGGAGAA